TCTCTCAAAAGCTGTTCGTTAGGGTTTGTGTGAGCGTGAATCATTCTACAAATAGTGAGTGATACACTGAGAATTAGTCAATGGTGCTTTGGAGAAACTTGTTCATCTCAACAAGACGGTTCTATTGATCGGTGTACTTTTCCGATTAGTGCTTAAGGAGTTGGAAGTTCAATCTTGTGAGGAGGATCGGTGAAGCTGATGTTGATCAGCTTGTAGATCGTGTGAAAGGAACGACGATTCCTTTGCTGGCTCAAAGATTGGGAAGTCCTCTCTACCTTACAATTCTGATTCATTAATCTTGATGTTTTGTTTCAAGATTGCATCTCTTGTTGATCTGTCTACCTGTTATAGTTTCTTCATATGCTTTAATTCTTGCATAACTGAGATTGTATACTGTAAACTCTGCTTCTGATTCTTGTTTTGAATAAAGAGTAATATCAGAGGGCGTTTAACCCTCTTTAGGCCCCAGGACGTAGAAAACTCACTAATACTGAGTTTCTGAACCTGTAAAATACTGGTGTCTCCTCTCTTTATGCTTTCTTTATTCTTTCTTGCTATGTTCTGCTAGTTATTGTTTGCGAAAGATATTCCCAAAATTACAATAATAAAGCTAAAGAGAGAAAAATAAATGAAAACCGGTAAACTTAGGCAAATTAAGTTAAAAAAAGTTATGTGCAAGGATTACTCAAGAAGTAGAAATTCTTTATTTTTTGTGGTTATGAAGTATAAATTCTTTGATTTATTATTAAAGGAGTAATAAAGGAGAAATTTGACGTCGGCATGAATAATCTCTCAAAATATAAGAATTAGGTTAAAAAATTAAAAGAAAAAGACTTTGATTTGATTTAATCCAACTTAATTTAACCCGATGTGCAGTGGATTGGACCAGTTTGAGAATATTATAATTAAATAACATGTTTGTTTATTTTCAAAAAATATATATATAAATGTTATTTAAAATAAACATTCATTTATTTATATAATTAATTTTAAATTTTCAATAAAATAAGTAAAATATAAATTAATGTACCAACCGTACGGAATCACAATCAACCGAAATAAATTTCTAGTCTATATAGGATGGCGTTGAGCTAATAAATTTCGCTGTCAGGTGGATCAGTATTATTTAATTGTCAGTCGTCACGATACATTAATTGTGCAGGTGTTTCGTTTTCCAATTTGTCGGAAATGTTAGAAAAACCAGAATAGTACGGTGAGCGCACCGACAATACGGAAATTGTTTTAGGACTATGGGAATATATTCTCGAGTAAAAGGGAATTTATTTTCCCCTTTTATTCATGCTTTTTTTCATAATTCTTTTTTAGAGGTGTTTGATACAGAAGAAATTTTTATTAGTCCGGGAATCTCGATTTTAAAAAATATGATTTTTACATTCACATAAATTGATGATATCGGAAATTTTTATTCATGTATTTGAGGTGCATCCGATATCGTCAAATTATGATATAAATAGACTAAAATATTCTTTTTAACCGAATATCATATAATTTATTAAATTTTTAATTTATTTATATGATTCTAAAAACTATAATTTTAAATACAAAAATTTAAATTATTTTTCTATCCACCGTAGTAAGGAAATTTGTTTTTTTCAGACAGATACCTATTGTCTTTCATATCGTATGTACCATCATCCAAGGAAACTTTTGCTCCATTTTTTTCTCCATCGTTCATAGGGTATGTGATTTGAATTGTCTATTGTCAAGTCTCTGATCTTGAATCAATTAAAATATCAAGAAGAATTCATCCTCATTGTATAATATACCAGTGTTATTAAACAGGATCCGGGCATCAACTCTGTTGGGGTACTGGGTCATTAGATCACTGGTCGGACTGATTGATTCGGATATGTATAAATATATAAAAATATATATAAATATGAACATATAAATTTAATTATATTCTTCATATCTAAAATGAGTTAAACAATGTTCACTAAATAAACTTAGAAATTATCCAATCACATGCACTTTTACATGTTCATGATGCACAAATAAAAAAAAATGTACGCTATTACTATGTCAATTTAAATTGTAACTCAGAATCACATAAGCATATTTTTTAATGACATTGAACTTATATTTTTCAAATTCATATACATTCAAATGACATATGTCACATTCTCTTGATTTATTGTTCATCAAATTGTTTCAGTATTGGAAGCTAAAATTTGAGATTATTGTAGAAGAGTATACTAGCAAATAAAATTACTAAATTTTTTTTAAAATGAGTTCTACATTTTTTTTGACAAGATGAAACAATTTTGATTTTTTGATTTTTTTTTTATAAAAAATGTTTGACTCGACCGGGTTACTGCTTTGTCTGGATTTGGCCGGGTTTTGATCGAATTTGATTGGTTCCGATGTATAACCGATCCAATACTTGATCCGAATCGATTCGATGATCAGTTCACCGAATTCTGGGTCTACCCGGGTTTCACAACAGTGTAATATGCATTCATCCTTATATATAAATTAAATTAGTAATTAATTCCTACACTAATTATACATTAATCAATTATTGCATTATTAATTAATAACATACATTGCTAATTAATTACACTTAATAGTTAACCTCACAAATTAATTTACACACCAATTAATTATTATTTTAATAATTAACACTTGCTTCATAACATAGTTTATTAGAGTAATATGCTGCACTACACTACCTAAGATTAATATGTTACACTACACTATCAACAATTAATATGAAACATTACTAAAAATATTATAGGAAAGGAATAGAAACTTTCTTGCTATAGAGCTTGCCACAGAATCCTAGAGTGAAGTTGTACGGAGAGGAGAATATTGTAGAAACGAGGGGGTGAGAGAATTTGTAAAACAATAGAAGTATATAAGGGGGTGGGGGACGAAAGAATATAGGATTTCACCGTGTATTGAGCTATAGGATCGTGAAACAATAAGTCTCGAACCTGTTGGGACCAGCAATGGGACAAAAATTTGTTGTGTTGGATAGAGAGGCTTTGATGTTGCGACACGTGATTAGTCAATTTCTGCTGAACATGATAACGAGTCTCGATCCCTCGTAACCGTGATATTGCAGTATTTTGGGAAACATGGTATTCTCATTATTCCTATAAAAAAAAAATTTGTGTTCGTCATTTATTAATTAGGAACGACGTTTTATATCATATATATAAAGAATCAATTTAACCAAAAGTATAAGTTATTAACTGAATGTCTATTTAATGGCTTATATTATTCTTTAACATGTCTCATCACGTGAGAGTCCACTAGGCTTGAAGAGTGGATAATGCACAAATCTATCTACATGTGCTAAGAAATTCCGTAAGAGAAAGTGAGGGCAATGAGGATGAAAAATGTGTGACCTTGTGGTCCCTGAGGCTCTGATACCATGTAAAAAAATTAATTCAACTCAAAAACTTAAATTATTAAGTGAAGACCTCTTTAATGATTTATATTATTCTCTGACATTGTACATTAGCAATTGAATCTTGCTTGAAGCTAAGAAAACGTTAAACTTAACAAAAAAAATTTGATATAAGATAATTGAACATATAAATTAATACAAACTATCATCACTAGACCAATCTCAGTAGCTTTTAAACTTAACAATTTGATTATACACAAATGAGCATTGATTTAGTCACACAGACCACATATTCGGGTAAATAAAAAATAGAGTTTAGAAAATTTTAATGCTGTATCACAGTTTGTTTTAAAAGCTCGATTCGAGTATTTTAGTTTTGTTGAAAGATTGTTTTAGAACTATTCCAATAAAATAAAATATTTTCTGCTCCCTACCTCCTCACCTTTCTAAATTCATACTAGGTAAAATAGTTGTTAGTATAAAATAATTTTAACACTTTCAATCAGGTAGCAGCAATGACATACTTGAGTTCTAAGAGGATATGTAAATATGATGAAGTGGTGGAGTTACAGAGAGGTTGGGGAGGGCGATCACTCCCCTTAATTTTATATAAAACTTTATCTTAGGTCTCTTTTAGACTTAAAAGAAATATAATGTAGAATAAATTTGCTACCTTTAAACTCAATCATTTTTTTATCTTATTATTAACTATAGATGAACAAAACTTTAAGAATTTTTCGAATCTGGTTAAGTATTATTCTTGGTCACTTCTCCTAAAATTTTCTAGAATTACTTTTTAATATTTGAAGGAGTTCTCTACATGAAAGTTATTATTAATCCCTAGATGTCGTCGAATTTTCCATAAAATTAGCTTGTTTATCAATTTTTGCTAGCAGTTTATTGCATACAAGAATTTTTTTCCCCTAAAATAACTTCTGGCCGGGTTGACCCAAAGCTAAAATATGCCAAAGTTTTTTATATATAAATAATGATTTTATGTTTCTCATGCTTTTTATAGACAACTATTCTATTCCCTAGCACTATTTCTGAAAAGAAACAATTCTTTTCTATTTCTGTTCCTTGGAACAGTTTCTGAAAAAAAAAATATGTTTGATAACATGTTATATTTTTATTCCGAGAATGAGAATTGCGTTTGATAACATAACAAATAACATAAAAAAATAATAATTCCTATTAAATATAAAAAAATTTGGATCATCACTTTTCTTTCGATATGGTGTGGTTGTGGTGGTGAGTGGGGGGGGGGGGGGCATGGTGGTGGTGGCGGCAGCGGCGGTACAGCGGTGGGAGGCAGTGATGTGGTGGTGGTTGTGACGGCAGTGGCTGCGGCGGCGGTAGTGTTGGGGATGGTGATGGCGGAGGTGACGGCAGTGGCTGCGACAATGGTGGTGAGGATGGTGGTTGGTGGCATATATGGTTGGTGGCGGCAACAATGGTAGCAGTGACATAATGGTGGTGGTTGTGGTGGCAGTGGCGGTGGTGGTCGTGGCTGCGGCAGTGGCGGTGGTGGTCGTGGTAGGTGACAGAGGTGGTGGTGATGGTGGTGTAATGGTGGTGACACTGGTGGTGACAGTAGTGGTTGTGACGATGGTGGTGGTGGTTGATGGCGGCGGCGGCGGCGGTGACTGCAACAATGACAGTGGTAGTTGGTGATAATGGTGGTGATGTGGTGGTGGTGGCGGTACGACAGCGGTGGCGGCAATGATGTGGTGATGATAGTGGTGGTGGTTGTGACGGCAGTGGCTGCAGCGGTGGTAGTGGTGGGGATGGTGGTGGATGGTGGCGGATGGTGGCATGGTAGTAGTGATGGGTAGAGGTGGTGGTGATGGTGGCGGTGGCATCGTGGTGGTGTGGGATGGTCACGACAGCACTAGTGGTACGACGGTGGCGACGACGATGGTGGTGGTGGTAGTGTTGGGATGATAGCGGTGGTGGTGGTGATGATGATAGAGATAGAGAGTGATTAAAAGAGATAAGTGTTTCTCATTTTGTGCCCGGGAACAAAAAAGCAGAATTTTTTTTATTCTTTTTTATGTTCCCCAGCACAAAAATTCTACCGGTTCATCCTGGGAACAAAAAAATAAACTGGTTTTACCAAACGAGTGTCCTATCCATTTTTGTTCCCGGGAACAGAAATTAAAAAAGAATTGATTCTGGGAAGGTTGTCATGCGCACCCTTCTCCTAAAATTTTCTAGAATTACTTTTTAATATTTGAAGGAGTTCTCTACATGAATTATTAATCCCTAAATGTCGTCGAATTTTCCATAAAATTAGCTTGTTTATCAATTTTTGCTAGCAGTTTATTGCATACAAGAATTTTTTTTCCCTAAAATAACTTCTGGCCCGGTTGACCCAAAGCTAAAATATGCCAAAGTTTTTTTATATATAAATAATGATTTTATGTTTCTCATGTTGTAGGAGATAAATTTATTTCTTATACACACGTAAAAGTGAGTGGAATCCATGTTTTTTTTCTATCTCTTCTCTTCACATTGACCTTCATGGGTCGCACATATTTTTATGTGTATGTAAGAGATAAATTTATCTCCTATAATATGAGAAACATACGGTGGTGTTTACATAAATTATATTAACTAAACTAATTAATAATCACTTTTCAAAATTAAAACAATTTAATTAATAATCAACAGACAGAATTATTTAATATTTACTAATATGGGGGATTTATGTAATTAAACAAACAATTAGTTGATGCCTATCAGTTTGTTAGAATCGAAAAGATAAGTTAGTTAAATATAGAAGGTCCAAAGCCAAATATCAAGAAGTTCTATAAGTGGCACCACAAGAATCTCAAAGAAAAGAAGCGGTTTAACGTTCTCTTAATTTTAGAAAATGAGCCAACCCAGCATGTCAACCTTCCCTGCATGAGTTAGCCGTTCAATGATGAAGACACAAAGCATAAACACTAAACCATACCCGAAAAGGACTCAAACTAATCCACAACATAGGAGGAGGAAGGTGCCTTTATAACCCTTCCTCTTTCGTTTTTCTTCCTCGGCTCTCTCTTTAGAGAAAGTTCCATTAAAATTTTCATCATTGGTTTACGCATCCTCATTAGGACTAACCCCTAATTGCATGCATGCATGTCTCCAAGTTTTCTATTACCAACCCATTTTGGTATATTAATTTTTTAAAGGTTTGAGCATTTCTCTCTTGTTCTATAGAATTATTTTAAATAAATATATATATCTTTTTTGTTTTCTCTTCAAACCCAACAATTTCAGCGTAGTTATACGCATTACCATCATTTTTCTTCGTTCATAATTTCCAGTCAATCTAAGCCAGCATTAAGACAATGGCTACCGTGGGGTTCTGCGGTTTGAAGCCATTGCTCTTTCGTCGCAAGGCAAATATTTTTGAGGTAAAATTCTAACCTTTCTTGTTTCTATTATTCTATATATGAATGAACTTCTCTATATAACACATTTTGTTTTTGTTTCAACATCTATTAGAGACCAGAGGCTAGTTTCAATTTGCCAGAATATAAAATAATCTAAACCCTTTTTTATCAAACTTAAAATCTGTATATTGTTGTATAAAAAAAAAAAAAAAAAAACTGTATATTGGGATTTTGATTCTTTTGAGAAACCAATTCCTAAGTGATCCTTTGTCGTTGTTATTTTTTCATGACATGTATGGTACGTTCCACGATTCAACATTCGAGGAAAATTGGTACTGTTGTTATTGTCATTATACTTCCCATTCATCAAATTTGTTCTAAACTTTTTTTAATTAATGGAGACATTTAGAGATCTTTTATGGAATGAGATTACGAAAGAATTAACAGCATATATATGACCTGTAGAAAAATGTTGTTAAAGAAATATAATATAAAATATAAGACATTCATTCACCTAATAATTTAAGTTTTTGAATTAAAATGATTTTTTTGTTATATCATATCAAATTAAATGTTACCTGTATGAAACACTATATCAATTTCCTAGGCTCCGTTCATAACTTATAACCACTTGCAGGCACTAAAAGGCTCTAGCACCCCTAAGAAGTCTTCAAAGGCTCAAAGCAAAGGAAATGGAGAATCAATGGAGTTGTCATTTGTAGGAGCAGACCAGTTGATTTTGATGGTGGAGATTCATAAGAAGATAATGGCATTCAGGGACATCATGGACCTTGCTCCATGTAACAGCTCTGCTTCCTTACGTGAGGTGCTTTATGATTTTTATTTTTTATTTTTTATTTTTTTTCAGAAAAATTATAGCATTCCCTCATTATTCCTGTCTCCCTTATAAATTTGTCTTATTGCAGATTGTTATGAGAACCCTGCAAGATATCCAAAGGCTTTACCCAGGGATCATACCAAAAAGTGAAGTTTCAAAGATAAAGGACAAGTCTATAGATCAGGTTCAACATTTAGCTGCACCTGAAACTGTCCTAATATTAATTATTATTGAAACCTTAGCCTCCCAAAATACTAAACGTGACAATTTTTCACCAGGCTATGGCATACTTCTGCGAGGCTTTGAAGTCTCTTGGAGAGTCATGGATGATGAATAATGATTGGATGAACAAGCTCAATATTGTATTACCATCATGCAAGGATAGCAGCAATATGCGTCAACTTGGTATGTTATTAATAATCTTATTGTCCTTGTCAAATGGTTTATCAGAAAAAATAAAATAAAAAATAAAAAAAAATGACCAAATCTAGAATTGATAAGCTACTCACACAAAAATAAATATACTTTGTAAAATGTTAACATGGATTTGTTAATGGCTTAATAAATTTTAATTCCTGATATTAAAAAACATATAAATCAAATACTAATTTAACTACAAATCAAATCAAAAAACATAAGATGTTTTATTTGTTTTGCAGGTGAAACTATGTTGGCCACTCTAGATTGTTTAATGAAGTTGGAAAATGAGAGGTTTGATATCATGGAAGAAGATGAACAAAAGAAAGAATTCAGCCCAATCTCTAGTTCTTTTGGAAAATATATAATGGGGTCCTACTCATTTTCAGAAAGCAGCTTCTCAAGCTGTTCTTCTCCTGTTACACCTAGATCAGTCCTTCCAGAATTGATGAAGTACTCTGCCAGATCAGGAGATAGTCCTAGAAGTTCTTGTGCCTCACCACTTCTTATGTCTCTAAGAGTTCAAGCTGTTGGAAAGCTGAACCCAATTGATATAAAGCGTTTGTCTTTCCAAATGTCACCAACACATATCCACAAGATAGAAGAGGAACCAACCAGGGAAATGGAAGTGGATGACAAGGCTACAAATCCTGGAAAGGACTCATCAGAAGATCTAGTGTTTGATTTGGACACAACAGAGGAATCAGATAGCACAATTGATAATGTTCATAAAAAAAAATATGAACCTCAAGCTATGGAGGAAGTGGAGCTACCACTATCTCCTAGACAACTTCAACCACAATCTCCTAAACCAGCACCAACACCTTCTCTCTTTCGACAAGCACAATTGAATGTATCATCATTACCTTCAATTTCAAACCCACCCCCACCCCTTCCCACAACATCCATGATTACACAGCCAAAAACTCTGCAACCCCCTCCTACACCATCCATTATGATACTTCCAAAAACTGTGACACAACCACCCCCACCACCTCCTGCACCATCAATGATAAAAACTTTATCACCCCCAGTACCAACACCACCTGTGCTGCAGCCAAATGTGGCAGTGCCACCACCTCCACCTCCACCATCAGCACCTAAATTGGTGGAAAGTGCAGCAGTAGCAGTTAGGATGCCTCCACCTCCACCACCACCAGGTTCAGCAACAACTGCTGCACCTCCACCACCCCCACCATTGATGTCCTTGAAAGGTGGATCAATTCCCGCGCCTCCACCGCCGGTGCCGCGTGGAAGTGGAGGTGCCCCACCACCACCACCTCCAGCAGCAGGGAGATGCTTGCGCCCCAAGGCAACTACTAAATTGAAAAGGTCAACACAAATGGGCAATCTGTATCGAAATCTTAAGGTTAAAGTTGAAGGGCCTAGCCTCAATGGAAAATCATCTGCTGGGAAAAAAGGTGCAGTTGGAGGAGGAAGCACTGGAGGAAAACAAGGAATGGCTGACGCTCTTGCAGAGATGACAAAAAGGTGTGTTTTTTTTTTTAAACCATCCACAACAAAATAATCCTTCAAGGAGATGATATATTTTGTTAAATTTTTAAAACTCTTTCCTGTTTTTTTATTTTTTTCCCCACTTTTTATTAGATCCTCTTACTTCCAACAAATAGAAGAAGATGTTCAAAAATACACAAAACAAATCATAGAGCTGAGACCTAAGATTTCAAATTTCAACACAAAAGACATGAAAGAATTGATCAAGTTCCACAAAGATGTTGAATCCGTTCTTGAGAAACTAACTGATGAATCACAGGTGAGTTTAGAACAAATGCATGTCCATTTGGTTTGCACTGCCATTCATTATTGTTGGTTCTTTTATTTACCATATGGTATGCAATTATGTTTCTGCTTAGGTGCTATCACGGTTTGAAGGTTTCCCCACAAAGAAGTTGGAAGCTTTAAGAATGGCAGCAGCACTTTACAACAAGTTGGATTCAATACTCACTGAGCTTCAAAATTGGAAAGTAGTAACTCCAACGGGTCAGCTCCTAGACAAGGCTGAACGTTATGTCAACAAGGTAATCCAAAACATCATATATATTTATTTACCTTTATATTATGTCCTTGTATATTCATTACTAACCCCAAAGAGCAACAACATACAGATTAAAACAGAATTAGATGCTTTGGAACGAACCAAAGATGAAGAGTCCAAGAAATTTAAGGGTCACAACATCGAATTTGACTTCCACATTCTTATAAAGATCAAGGAAGCAATGGTGGATGTTTCCTCCAATTGCATGGAGTTAGCACTTAAGGTATTATAAACAAACCTACAAAACCACTTTTGAACCAAACCATTACTACTTAGAAATGAAATTGACTTAATTTGCATTTGCTTAAAATTAATATAGGAGACGCGTGACAATGCTGCTAAGAATGATGCACAAAAAAAGGAATGTGGTAAATTGCTTTGGAGGGCTTTTCAATTTGCATTCAAGGTATATACATTTGCTGGTGGACATGATGATCGAGCTGACAAGCTAACAAAAGAATTGGCTCAGGAGATAGAAAGTGACCCGAACCATCCATGATATATACTTGATTTATACTTATATATATACACACACATATATATATTTATATATATGCAGTAAAAATTAATATGGTGAGGTTCTTTCTTTATACCCATCATTAGCACCCTCTTTTAGTATCAAAGCCATTTGTATATTAAATGATCATTGGCGACTTGAGAGTTATAATTTTTTATTTTTGTTAGGAGCTAGTCATGCTTGGAGAGTTTTGAAAATTAATTGCGGGAACTCTATCTCGGAAGTTTGAAGCTAAACCTGAAGCTTCACCACTTTAATTAGTTTATTCTATAATATATGTATATATATATATATATGGCAAAATGATTTGTAATGTGACTGCATATAAGCATTGATGCAGTCACTACAAACTACGTCGTTTTATTTGGGACAAACTCGTTCCATTCCCTCTTCAAACATTGTGAGTTATATTTCTGCATCTTAATTTTTCTGTAACACAAAGTTCGCGTTCAAAGTTTGTTATGATTCTTCATATTTAATTCCTTATATTTATTTCCGTCTTTGTATGGTCATGATTTTTCATATTTAATCCTTTCACACTATAATACGACGTAGTTCTATATGACTGTAACAATCCTTAAGTGCAGTCAGTGTACATCCGCTAAACCCTATATATATATATGGGCTTATCATTTCTCAAGCTGCTTGAAATAATTTTATCTCCGGTACTAAATCATAACCGTATAAAGATAGATCAATTGTGATAAAGGAAGAGAGAGAAAAAGGGAATCATAACCATTCAAAGGTGAATCAATTAATATAAGAAAATAAATAAATAAAGCGACGTAGTTTTGGGATAATCGGAAATAAACTTATCTCAAGCTACTTGAGAAATGTTTTTCTATATATATATATACATAATGGAGTTTTACCTAAGTAATGGTTTGCCGTCTGTTGTTTTTGCATTTGTTCTGTTTTGTACCAATCATTAGAGACTGGTCGAGGTAAGAGTCAACTACAAAAGATGGTAAGAAAATAGGTAACTTTGACAATACTAATGAAAATGGCTTCATCATAGTTTTGCATAATTGTAAGAAATGGCTTTCGGCTATCCAATTTTTAGTATAGAGAAACAAACCAAGAAGGCGGTTTCATCACTTATTTTTTAAAAAATTTGTCTTCTTATTTCTCAAATCATTAGTGGTTTCCGCATCTTATTATTATGAAATTGATTCTAAAATAACATTCATTATTTTAAAATTCATTTTTTTTATAAATATGAATTCTTTAAAAAAAAATTCCACTATGTTATGAAACTAAGAAAGAAAATAAAGAAGTGTTATAAAACTAAGAGAAAATAGAGAGAAAGTAAGAAACAAAAGGAGAAAGTAGAAGAATATTACCAATCCTTATTGTCATCTTTTCAAAGAGTACATGCCTTTATATAGCACTCCAAGGATCAATAGGAGACTAATTACACATTAATAGACCATTATACAAAATGGTTACAATTTATACCAAAAGTCATAGCCAGGCAAAATGTCACCTTCTAAAATCCCAATAGTCATCCACATGTAAAATTTATTTTTTGCAACACTTCCCCTTGGATGACTACCCATTATGAATACGCATCATTAAAACCTCGTCAAGAAAAAATCCCATGGGATAAAAACTTAGCGAAGGAAAAAGAGTACAATATTCATGATCAATTTACTTCCCCTTAATGCCGAAGCAGTAACCAATTGGCTAAATAGAAGTAAAAACAAAGACAAGGATTGCGAGAAAATACTATTCCTCTTTCTTAATTTTATTTAACCAAAAACAACCTAATAACAATAGGGTTCTCCAAGCTATAAATAGGCAAAAATAAAATAACAAAAAAAGTAAATAACTATAATCATGCGCAATCAAAGGAGATAACGCACAATCAACGCACACTCAAACATAATTTAAAATAACAAAAAGGAAATAACTAATAATTATTAAAATTCCCTAAATAAAGAAATAAATTATGAAAAAGCTCAATCCAAGCGAGTCACCCATGTGCATCATTCTCCCCTGCCAAAACAAGATTCGTCCTCGAATCTAACGGATCTTCATGGTTATTCTCGCACGTTATGCCCTCTTCATCATTATGATAAGGAGACAAGTCAGCAACATTGAAAGTACTAGAAATATTGTACTCCCCAAGAAGTTCAATCTTGTAAGCATTGTTATTGATCTTTCCGAGCACCCTGAAGGGACCATTAGCTATAGGTAGTTTAACAATCCTGCTAGCCAGAAAATGTTCCTTCCTAAGGTGGATCCGTACCATATCGCCTTCCTTGAAAATGACTTGATCTCTATGATTGTCAGCTTGCTGTTTATATTTCACATTTCGCTTCTGAATATGATCATGAACCTGTGAATGTAACTCCTTTTACTCCTCAGTGCTCATCCTATATGTAGCTTTGTCGGAAATAACAACTCCTGGCACAAGGTCAATATAATACTGAATGTCTATCATAAGTGGAAATTCCAATGGCATCTCCTCAGGAACCACATCAACGAAGTCCTCTAGCAATGGCTTAACCTGCAAAGGAATGTCAGAAACACCATAATTTTGTTCTATCACCACACAAGCACATATCTCAACGACACTGGTAGATTCTTCTTGGGAACCTACTCTGGACAACATAGTGTTCTTCGCTTCCTCTTTCAATTCAGATGGACCCAAGGTAATAGTTAGTCTGCCCTTATTGAAAGTGTAAGTATTTTTGAAGCCATCGTGCTTCGTCTTCCTATCAAATTGCCACGGCCTCCCCAACAAGATATGACACACATCCATCGGAATCACATCGCACCACACCTCATCAGTGTACCTTTTGCCGTTAGAAAATTGTACGAGACACCTCTTGTTCACCTTCACCTCACTTCCTTTTTTCAGCCAAGCAAGCTTGTATGGTTGTGAGTGTTCCTCTGTTTTCAATATTAGCTTCTCGACCATGGTATTAGAGACTACATTCTCGCAACTCCCTCCATCAATGATCATATTACACACCTTACCGCCGCTGGTGCACTTGGTGCGAAATATATTGTGTCGAAGCCACGACTCATCATCAATGATGTCAACATTCAACACCCTTCGGACAACCAAGGCTTCGCCTGAATCACCGAAAATAATCTCACATTCTTTAGACCCTCCATCCACCTCATGTTCTTCATACTCATCATAGGTGGGGCCTATATCATGGGCTTGAGTATCCGCAAGAGTAACATACTGCCGGTTTGGACAATCAACAGCGAAGTGTCCTAAACCCTGACACTTGAAACGCCTTTTTGCCGTAGTCCTTGTCTTGCTTGCTTCACCATTGATCGTTCCCCCCTTGCTCACTAGTTTCAGGTTAGAAGGTTCCATCCCCGCACTAATGTTGGCTGTCGAGCTTGATAACTGTCCTTTGTCACAAAATCTAGGTTGGAATTTTGAAGTATCTCCTCTTCTCTTACACTGCTCCTCTACCTTCAAAGATAGTCGACATACGTTCTCATATGACCAGTATTGTTGTAGGTATACAACATCTGAGATCTCAGTTTGCAGTTCTCTTAGGTAACGAGCAACTAGTTGTTCGTCCTCCTCTGCAATATCACAGCGCATCCGTAAATGATCAAACTCAGTGGTATACTGTTCAACTGATAGGTCTCACTGCTTGAGATTATGGTACTCAATAAATGCCTCATGCCGGTTGCGGATGGGTAATTTTTGTTGTAACAGTTTCTTCTTCTTATCCTAACTTCTGATCTTTGACTTTCCTTCTTTATTTCTCTGCTTCTTAATATGTTCCCACCAAATTGAGGCATGCTTCCTCAGTTTGATAGCAACCAGTTTGACCTTCTGGTCTTCTGTCAAGTCTATGATATCAAAGACTCTTTCGACGGTGTGTAACCAGTCGATGAACTCATCTGGATGAGTGGTGCCCTCGAATTTCGGGGTCTCAATCTTCACCCCAATATTGGCAAAAAAGGATTGGTTTCCAGGTTGGCTTCGTCCTCGTCGCTCCTGGTTCCAGACCCATAATGGGTTTTCGTTCCTTTCCTCCTCATGAGATGATCTTTCAGATTCCCTTCCTTCATTTAACTCGTCCAATTGTGTTTGGGAAAACCGTTGTTCGAGCTCCTGAATTCGTCTACCTTGTTCTGCCATTGTAGTAGTCATTGCTACCATTGTGGCGTCTCGTGCGTCGATGTATGGTTGTTCGTCGTCGCCATAAAGGGTGTTACCACGCCCTCTTCCACCGCCGTCGGCTCGACCCCGTCGTCCACGACCTCGACCTCGACCACCATTGTTCTGTTCAGCCATTTAAGTGACAACTAGAGCTCTGATACCAAATAATGCCGAAGCAGTAACCAATTGGCTAAACAGAAGTAAAAACAAAGACAAGGATTGCGAGAAAATACTATTTCTCTTTTCTTAATTTTATTTAACCAAAAACAACCTAATAACAATAGGGTTCTCCAAGCCTTAAACAGGCAAAAATAAAATAACAAAAAAAGTAAATAACTATAATCATGCGCAATCAAAGGAGATAAAGCACAATCAACGCACACTCAAACATAATCTAAAATAACAAAAAGGAAATAACTAATAATTATTAAAATTCCCTAAATAAAGAAATAAATTATGAAAAAGCCCAATCCTAGCGAGTCACCCACGTGCATCACCCCTGATTTCAACAAATATTACTCAGATGACAAAAACCAAACTTTTACAAAACTACGCAAAAAAATTTAGTATGCAAAGGCAACGATTTCGACAACAACTTTGCGAACAGATATTTATTTGAGCGAGTTTGATGGACATCTGTCAAAGAACTTTGGTGAAATGTACTTAATCATGCCCCCCTTGATGTGTCATTCCCTTATTTGAGCAATGCATGTAACATTATCCTAATATGTTGATATTGATTTTACCTTGATCATCTATGTAGCACCGATACCTACACGAGACACGACACGACACTTCGACACGTTAGTTCTAAAAAAATGTTAGATTTCGACATATTGGGACACGTTTTGATATTAAATAATATTTTTAATTTATATAGTGTATATTATGTTTAATATTCAATAATTTAACAAAAAAATGAAGTTAAACTTATAATACTCATCAATTTTGCAAAGAAACATAAGATATCCCAAGTATTTATATTAAACTCCATAAAATGATAATCGTAAGCTAACGAATCTAATAGTTGGAACTAAAAACACAATGCAACGTAACCTTTGAACCTTTTTTTGAGTCTCTACAATGCGTGTTGAAGTGTCGGAAAGTGTCGCAGAGTGTCAGGAAGTGTCAGACACACACGTCGGAGTTTTTGAAGTGTCGATGTTTCATAGTTGATCATTTAAAGACCACATGCTTCTTTTGCATGTTCAACCACTAATCCTTGCCATACACATTCTCTATCAGCTTCATTCAATGCAATCAATTCAAGTATTTGTATACGGTATACCCAATTAAATTGAGCTTTGAATTCTTTTTCTATAAAATAATCGCGTATAATGTATTTTGCATATGAGTTGTATTTTGTTCTAATATATTTACATTGCAATAACATTATATCTTGCTAGCACAGATATAGAAAATGTTATGTTAAGTCATGTAATATTAGCAAGATACACACAAGCCCCAGATGCATTTAAATGTTGTACGTTAGGACCAAGGACTTTTTCATAATATTTTCAATGACAAATTTTGTTTCTCCATGCTAAGAGATCAAACAACCATGTTGAACTCAATTGATGGGTTTCGTTGATGTAAAATATTTTAATATCTTCTCTGTATAATTTGATTGATGAACAAATACTTCCGTAGATGAATGCCCAATCTCCAAAATGTTTCATTCAAATTCATTCTATAAATATTTTGCATTTTTCTCAAGCTCTTTAAAAGTTTTAATGATATTTCAATCGTCAACATATACTATAAATAATCAAAAATTCGGATATCAATCTTTTATTGAAAACACATGAACTAATGGAGTTATTTGTCGATCCTTTGGTTATGTCCAATTCATTATGATGATTGTACCATATTCGTCCATATTATTTTAGTCAATACAAAGACCTTTTTAATTTTATGGAACAATTCTTGAGAATTTAATTTATATGCTTCGGGCATTTTTAGTCCTTCGAAGACTTTCATTGAACAATAACTATATTAATAAAATCATAAGTTGCCTTTGGAGTCCTTTAAGAATTTCCATATTTGTATATCATTTACCCAATGATCCATTAAAGTTATTGTCTCTACATTCATTAGGCATATGTCAAACCCTTCAGATATTGTCAAACTAATCAAATATATAAAAACATTTGTATTCATGTCTAGTAGTGAGAGATTTGGGTAAGTTATATTAGATTATATATTTAATTCTCACTTGTATCCGAAAAAAACTTGAAAAGCGTACCTAATATTCAAACTCACTTTTAAACAAAATCAACTTCATAAAATCAAACTCATCCAAAATAAATTTGTACGTTAGGTTTGCCGAAACTGAAACCAATCCTAAATGCATATCCAGTATGAATTCTTCTTATTGGTGTTTCCCCCAGCTACAAGAATAATGATAAAAGAATACTAGTACACGAATAAGGACCCATATTTGTTTATAAATGCAACAGGGTTACGGGCTACCATTAAAATGATAACACGAGCCCATTTGTGATAACGACCTAAGTTCTACAAAAGAAAGATGAAAATTGAAAGATTAAAAGAAAAATGAAATTATATAGGTCACCCTTTGTGATAAGTGATAACGACCAAGTTCTACAAAAGAGAATTTAGAAACCTATGAATCAAAGTGTAGACTACACGCTAAACAAAAGTCTGAATTTCCTCAGCAAAAAATTACTAGCAACATAATAAATCCATAGGACAAAAATTTATTCCCTCTCCCCTCTCTATGTTGAATAAACTCCTAATTTTCACCTCATGCGAGGATATAATAGAATCTGAACACATTTGCCCCATACGTATAGATGGCATGGCATAAATAAGCAACATGAAAATTTTCCTCACCTCTTCTTGTTTGGCTTTCTTCCTTTCACTTGTTTCTCTAAACTTCTAAGCCTTTGACTGATAACAGCAGTAGAAGAAATCTTTTTATTTGAATGTTTTGATGGTTCATCTGGTATTGAGCTTGGCCCATTTGTCGTTGATGTAGCTTGTTTTAGTGCTGGAAATATAGAAAAGGGAGATTGTGGAGCACTGGCGGGGGCTGCGGGCGCTGCGGCAGGCATTTCAGGAAGACCCAAAGTTTTCTTTACACCAGGAACTTTAAGCACTGTAATAGGAAAAAAGCGAGCATATGGGATCAGAAAAAATCAAGAACATATAACAAAATGGTTCACTTAAGTTTTGTACTATACAGTTTAAAAAAACAGAGATCCTTTTAATGCATAAATAATAAGAACTTGTCATACATGAAACACAGCTTCAAACTTAGGTCTTACAAATCTAATACCAAAGATTTACTTTGTTAAAAGAACTCTAGCCCTAATATATTTTAATGATAACCCATTTTAATCCCTCAAAGATATAAATGGCATCAATTTTGTAATCCAAAAGCAGGTAAAAATTAATTTAATCCTTCAATCATAAAATGACATTGATTAGGTCCGCCAAAAAAGTTGGCATCAATTTAGTTCCTCAATCAAAAAATGACATTGATTTAGTCACTCAATCTCGTAGTCTGAACATAGGACACTTTTAACGTCACTTTCAGTGATTGTGGGACTAAATTAATGTCAAAATTCTTTGTAGGACCAAACTTATGACACTTGTATCTTTGGAGGACTAAAATGGAGGTTTAGTCTTTCTTTCTTTTTCCTTTTCTTATAAAACCTTAGTCCTCTAATTCAAGTCCCACCAATGACATCAACAGAACTCAGGCCACATTACCACATGACCTTGAGAAAAGCTTCCAAATAGAATGTTCTACTCTTCTGCTTGGGAAATTAAATACAAAATAAATAAATAAAATATGATAAGTAATAACTAGCGAAGAGGATGGAAGTGCTCTTATAAATGTCCAAAGGTTCGGAGAACAAAACAAAGCTCTAATGAGATAATTGTGATTTTGTGTAGAATAAAATATTGATTGGAATTATGCTAATTTTGGGTGTAGTTTATAATGCGAGCAGATTTTCAATAGGGAGGGACTGGCTACCGAGTAATAGTAGTCAGTCAAGCTCCCAAATATTTTGTGAGAGAGGCATTCAAACATCATTGATATGTTTAAAACATTAGATCACCCAATAAAACTGGAAATGCAAGACTCTAAGTTTATCTTGGAGCGTTTTGGATCATCATAGATAGATAAATGTGCACTTGACAAGAATACGAAGATGGTGGGCGAATGGATTCTTCACTACCTGCATTATACATTCTAGCCTAAATGCAATCATGAATCCCGTGGTGGAATCAATGGACTGAGCAATATGCATTTCATGAAAACAAATCCAACTTTCTCCCTATTGAAGTGATGAATAATGGAAATGACAAAGTAATATTGCAAACGAAAAATTTGAAGCGCCTTACCAAGTCCATACACAAGTGAAAACAAATTTGATGTAATCCAGTAACAAAAGATAGCCTGCACAATTATGAACGAACACAAGTTCAAACTACATAGAATGACAAACAAAAAGGAAAATGCAGTAGGTAAAAGAAAATAGGCAAGCACTCCTTTTCTTTCTCAACTAGCTAAATACCATTACATATTACAGAAAAAATATAACATAAAGAATTATCGCTAATACATGTGGAGGGAAAATGGATAATCAATATTCTATATATATCTATACTATACTATATATAAAAGCATGAATTGCAGAAACTTTTGCTTCACCAAAGATACCCTTCAATCTAAGGTTATTTATAGTATTGATTTTCATAATTATTAAGGCATCTTTTTAAAAAAAAAATAGAGAAAATAGAGCATTTTTCTAAGATTCCTGATTTGAATAGAATGTTACTTTACTTTGTTTTGAGTCAACAGAGAATATTATTCAGGTTTCCTACTAAGTTTCAACGTTCAAACATTCTATTACTATTTTAGTTTTTCTTATTGTTATGATCTTTACTTTTGAAAAAAAAAACAAAAAATAAAAAAATAAAAAATCACTGAAAGAGAAGAGAAGTACAAAGGAGGAGGAAAAGAAATTCGCCTAGAGTGAAAGAAACTTAAAATAAAAATTTAAAAACAGAAAGCACATAAAGCAGAGTTGAAAGTTTGAAAATCTGAATATTATTGATTGATTTCTCATGTATAGTGTTGCAGTATATACAGACAAATATGAGTAATTACTTACCTAATAAGGAGCTATATCTAAGGAAACAAATAAGAAACAAGCCTGCCCTACAAAGTTATCAAATGCGGATTGCGGCATATCACGGCCAACCCCAAAAAACGCTATAGCGGGTTGCGGTTGCAGAAATAGCGAAATAGATATATAACAAAAATAATGACAAAAAGAAACTTTTTTAAAGTCAGAGATAGCAGAAGTGACAGAGAGATACGCAAATAAACTAAAAACCCTTAAAAAATTTCTTTTACATATTTAAATTTAGGACAAAATTGACATTTTGCCTTATGACAGCAATATGGCTGCAAATGCGATTGCAATGGCCACTATTGCGTTCTGATGCGACACAGCGCGGTTTCTTGCGGCGAGGCATCACAACTCCCGTACGACGCGGCGCTTTTACAGCGCAATTAACTAGTATGGTCTTACATAAGGAAAAACAAATCTACACTAATTACACAAATATTCCTTTTATATTTACAACAGGCAGCAAAGCCATCATCTTACTGGTGCTCTCAGATCTCTCTGGAGATTCATAATAGGAAACCCCCTCCAAAAAAAACCGTGGGTTGACACCCACATAAAGAAAACTATTATGTCTTAGTCCTGCAATAGATGAAAAGGGAGAAATTTCTGTTTAATAATTATGGAAATATGGCATTATGCTCCATCCACAAACACAATCCCCACAACAACATACCAACTTCTGAGATTTATTTAATAATGAAAATGATGGGGGGGTTTTGTGATAGCAATCAAGTTATTACAGTTAGTTCTTGAAAGACACTCATAATTAAAATTGGTATTCAAGGTGATTTACAAAAGGAAAAAAATAAAAAGCTTAAAATGTCACATGCATCACGTATCAAAACTAGTATGTAAAAAGGATTTTAAACACAGTATATGTTATGTAACCTAAGATGACTAAGGTGTATATTAGGAAAAGAAAGGGTGCAGTAGGGGATTGGACTTCCACGCAGGCAAGGTGTGAAGTGTGACCTCATAAAGCAACCTGTTACAGACGCGCCAGCAGGAAGTGTGGGAAGCAAGGGAAGGATTGGCCACAAGTGGGAGGGAGAGAGTAACAGAAAAGAAATAGGAAAGAAGTGAGTACAGGGAATTGGCGAGAGAGAATGATACGGATGTGCCACATAATAGATTTGGGAGGGTGTTTTGCAGCTTGTAATTACCAATGCTGAGTCAGCAGCAATTGGTTAGAAGGGAATTAGTTAGAAGGGAATCAGGTGGTTAGAGCCACACTCATCTTACGGGACTGGTTATTAATAGGAAGGGGGGAATCAATTGGAGGCATCTTGGAAGATTGGGACTCTTGGGCTCTTGAGAGAGAACCAGAACCTCTTGAATTGTTTTGGATATCAATGTTTGTATTTTTGTTAATTCCCAGTCGTGTAGTTTTGGCTTGTTCTGTAATTTCCCTTTCCATTTCTTATAATTTTCCTTGAAGTATTTTGATCTGTAACTAGCTATCTCCATTTACCAGTATTTTAATTTTCCAAATCGGTAATACAAGGTCTGTGTCCATTCAAAAAAATCTCAGTTGCTGTTGTTAATTTTCTGGTTATAGACTTGAGGTCTCTATCAATTTGGTATCAGAGCTCCTGATCTAGAAGCGCTGAACCCCAACCCAAAAAAATAAAAAATAAATAAAAAGAGGGAAAGAAAAGTAAAAGAAAAAAAAAATGGGAAACAGCTACGAAGACTGGAAAAGAGGGAGAGGCAAGTTGAACAAAACCATAGAGAGATACTCAGGTTCCTTCATGAGCTTCTTCAGAAGACCTAGCATTACTCAAGAGGACGGTCACATACAAGAAGGAGCCATACTGACTCAGCATTTGTAATTGCAAGCTGCAATACACCCTCCCATATCTGTTATGTGACACATCCGTATCAGAGAACCAGGCCTCTCAAATGCCTGGACTATCCTAGCAATTTCTTTTCTGCTCCTGCAATTTTCTTCAATGTCATAAACAGACGCTGCTGCTTTCTGATATCACCTTGATATCAGGTCAGTAGAGGTGAATATACGTTAATTTTGGCTGTTTTACATACCTGATCTAGTTTCTATCAATATGATACACACTACACCATGATATTCACTAAAGCCAAAGCAGATTATGCTGTTCAAAGTTTTTAAAGGTATCAAAAGAGTAATTATCAAGTGCCTTTTGGAAAAAGAAAATAAAAGAAAACAAAATTATGGATCTCATTTTACACTAACAAAGTTGTTAGTCAAATTCCATAGAACCAAAGATTCTACCATATTCTTTCAATATGAGAAAAGTTCTTCACTAGGAGATAAGCAAACTATATAAAATGCAACCAACTTTACTGAAACTATCACAGAAAGAACTACTGTTTCTTTCTAAGTTTATTCAATAAATTATTTTAAATGCAGACACAGGTGGAAGCAAAGGGAACTTGTTCCTTCCCAAATAAGCTTAGCTAGGAAACTTTACCTTCGGAAATCCCATGGTGAAAGGAACTGTAAGAACAGCAAGACCCCTAGATACATTTTTCATGGTGGCAGCCACAGGATTTCCTTCCATCCCTTCTTGCATATTACACTGAGGAACAATATGAAATCAATTAATCTAAACTGGAACCAAAATATAACAGATAACACCACTCTTTCCAAATCAATTTAAAACTGTTTTTTCTGAAGTGGCTGGTTTATAAATGGACACAGGATAAAATTCAAAATGGAAAAGTAAGACCAAACAAATATTCAGAAGGTCAATCTAGAAAGAGAATTGAAAAGAAAGCTGAAAGAAAAGTTACCAAAAAGAAAATACTCACCTCTACTGTTATTAAGAATGATAATGAAGTCAAAACTGGTAAAATGTATAGGGTATCTGGAGTTGTGAGATCAATAAACCAGTAAGCTCCGCCATGCTTGAATGATGGCACTTTTTCAGCCATGTTTGATATCTATCATTTTAAGGAAAAAGAAAAAGAAAGAAAGAAAAATAAGTGAATGGATAGAAAGAATATGAGTTTTCTCAGACTCCTATAATTAGGGAGAATATCAAATTGAATGTCAGCTTACCGCAAGAAAAAAACTAACAAAGATAGGACCTTGAATAAAGAGCCCCTTCAGTGGCGTAAATGGACTCACACCATATCTGCAAAATCAAACCCACAGAAAGAAAATGACATCTAGTGAAAAAAAAAATATGAAGTTTGATTTAATACTTAAAGCAATAGTTCCCGAGAGCTACAGACCAATTGCATTTCTTAAAAATTAATAACAACCAGACTTCTAACATATATTCAATGATGACACTTCTAAGCCAAAGAAATGTTTAAATATCTATTTCATTTGCTTGTCTTCAGATGCAACATTTTCCATTTAACGAAAATTGCACATGAGGCCATAATAGCAGCCCATAAGAGTTAACAAAGAACACTGATTATTTAATGACTTCAGTTATGGCCCTCACAACTCACCACAAAGATTGCTCCACTGATACATTATATCACTGAATGTAGTAGGATCAAGTATGACCATTAGGAGTTAAACATGAAAGAGACAACGAAAATAATGTCAAGCATATCATTTACAAGCAAACTGAAAAACCACTTACTCCTTAAATAGCTTCTTCATTTGCTTCTGACCTTCAGCAGCTGCATTGGGATCCATAGCCTGGAAAATGGATGTTATAGTGATCAGAGAGAAAGTCATTTTTGATATAACATTTTATAACATAAATGTAAGAAAATCCAAAACTTATACATTTCTCCAACAAGACAGACAAAGAGGAGGAAAAGTTCAAAGTGACTAATAAATATACTAGATGTTTAGACCATATATATACTAGCAATGCCAACAGGCACAAGGATAAGGAATGCACATCCAGCAACACAGGAACTTGTTATGTAGAAATACAAATAAATGTGAAATAACTGAATGATAAGGTCACCTGTATGTTTAAACAGAACAGAACATAGTTTATAATTTCTGTTGAGATATATAGTCCCACATTGGTTGTATGTGCAACTAATGTGGAGTTTATAAGGCCTTGGGCACTCCCACCCTTTGAGCTAGCTTTTGGGGTGGTGCAACTCAAGGTTATTTATATGGTATCAGAGCCTCATGTCTCGGGTTCAAATCTCACCGCCTCCCACTTTCTTTCAAGTAGAATTTCTTTGTTCGCACAGGTAGGTGGACCTGTGCATTGTCCACTCTTCAAGCCCAGTGGGCTCACGTGTGAGGGGGCGTGTTGAGATATATAGTCCCACATTGGTTGTATGTGCAACTAATGTGGAGTTTATAAGGCCTTGGGCACTCCCACCCTTTGAGCTAGCTTTTGGGGTGGTGCACCTCAAGGTTCTTTACAATTTCAAACTTCACCCTACGCAACTCTAGAAACAAAAATGTATGTTTAGAAGATGCATTTGTTTATTTACTTTACATAAATCATGTTACTATCTAAATCAATCCATTATTATATAGTATTTTTCAGTACATTATAACACGGAAGGCCTGTAGAGGCAAGGTATGGGAGGTGATGGTGGCAACATCATATTTGGAGGAGGCAGCAAAGAAGAAAATGATATAGGTTGTAGTGGTAGTGGTAGCAAAGATGATTGGAGTGGTTGTGATGAAGAGAGTGACAGTGTTAGTGGTGTTGGTGATGAGGTAAATGCAGTGGTGATGGTGGATGAGATGATAAAGGTGGTGATGATGGGGAAAATGTGGTGGCGGTTGCAATGGTGTTAGAGGTGGTCATGGTCGAAATGTGGCTAAGGTAGTGGCAACAGAAAAACGAACATAGGGACCATGATGGTGGTGGTAGCGGCGACAATGGTGGGCTGGTGGCAATGCAAGTGGTGGCAAAAGTATCAGATTTACACGGGATGGTTGTAAAGTGCGGGGTATGAGATACAGAGTGCATCCTAATTCTATGCTTTCTTGGAAATGGAAGGTCTATGCTAATAATTGAGAAGGGTTTTATTTAGTTGACTTTCAATTCCTTAGAATTGCTTTAATGAAATGGAATTCCAATTCTAAAAGGCATCCCAGAGAAGAAATTAAGAATTTGACAGCCAAATTCTATTTTTCAAGCTTGAATGTTGAACCCAATTCCAAGTGCCAACCTAGCCCTTACTACAATTCCTTAAAATTGGCTCGAGTATTCTTTTTGTTTCGTGTTGCTCTTTTCCATCCTTTCCCTCCCCTTCTCTATACTATTTTTGTCCTCCAAGTCCTCTTATAATAAAAATTTAGTCACACCAAATGGTGCATGGAGCAAAGGAGATTAGTTACATGGAGTTTGTTTATTTTAATCCCCAAAGTTTTACCCAAGATATAGACCAGGTCAGATACTTAACAGGTTGATTAACCAAAATCTGCAAAAATATTATTCAAACTAAAATTTTCAGATAACAGACAACAGAACTTGTAATAGCACAGCACCATATCCACTATTAAATTTACTGGTGATTAAAAAATGACTTGAGGACATATAGCACGTTACCCTCTCTTCCATCTGTTGCTTTATCTCTTCCATGTGAGGCCTCATTAGCTGCAACAGACACGAAACAGTAAGCTTAAGTAAAAAGATAGATCATATTATAGAAGAAGTGCATTATTGACATAACAACTATAACAAACTTGAGGACCCTTATGGAAAAAGAAAAAAAAAAGAGGGAACAGAAAGGAAAAGCAAGGGAATTAACCCACCAACCCATGTTAAGGAGATGATAATTCAAAGAGGGAAAGGGAACTAAGGCAAAACAGTTCCCTCCAAATGTTTAAATGGTTTCCACTCCAATCAGGACATATGAAGGAGGAAGGAAAAAGCAAAAGTCATTGCTATTACTTTATTTTAGCAAAAAATAAAGATGAAGCTATAAGCAGCACGACATACCGTAAGTTTAGAAGTGGCCTTAAGTTGATTTATTAAGAGTGGAACAGTTGCGCTTCGAATGACGAGAGTTGTTAGAGCTATGGCTGCCCACCTGAAATAAAGGAGCAATAAGGTGAAGAGTTTCTTTTCAAAATCAATGTGCCACCAAATCTTTGATGAATTATGAATAAATAAGTCATTGCAGAATTGAATCCCAGAATATGCATCATTTACTACAATGTAATGAATGCAAGAACATCCTTGCTAGCATAGTCACAAAACCCTAAATTCCCACTAAAATTTGAAATGCCATAAAATAAGCCGAGATTCCAATTCAGATATTATTAAAGGGAAATCAATTGCTTCAGTTCTTATGTATAGCAATTCAAACTTAGCGATGGCCAAACCAAAGGAATTGATAGTTCAAACCGAAATCCCTGGTAAAAGAAAAAATTCCACCAATGACAACTTGACATGTATGAATACCAATTCCGAAATATTTTAGAATTCAGGCAGATTCTTTTAGATTTGGTATTATATCTCTTTTTGAAAGTATAGGTAAACTCACCAATTTAAGCCAGTGTAGCAATGTACACCATCTATCACATACTGCAAAACCTTTACAGGCAAAGCAGAATCAGCAGCAGCAATTGCAACTTCATTAACAATGGGAGCCTGAGAAGCTACAGCCTCCAAGGTTGAGTCAGTGAGAACATCTGCTACATCAGTCATTAAGTCAATATTATCTGAACCCTGATTCACTGTCGACATATATCGGCAGAAATTATATCCAGCGGGCGGAGAAAGGAAACTGTTTGAAAGAATTCTATCTTGAGAAGAGGCAAGAAACCCCACTGATCCATTAAGAGAGCTCCCAAAGGACCTTCTTTGGATAAAATTACTAATGCCCGCTGAAGAAGATTTTTCATCTTGGCATTCACGCTTCCCTTCATCACTATGAAGAACATAACTGAAAGATGGGTGGCACCTCCGATCTATGAGGTTCCCTCTTATCAAGAGGCAACGTCTGTAAGCCATTGATATTCTTTGAAGGTTCTATCAAACAGAATCAAGTAACCAAATTACAAGCACAATCTAGGAAGCTTGTGCCGAGATGACAAAGTGCATATAGTCCAGAATTCACTCAATTCAGGTTGACCCAAAATACTAATACCAATAAAGCTATTAAATAAAATTTGCAAGAACTTATGCACATTTCATATAATAGTTAAACAACATGTATCACTAACTTCTCTGACCTTTTACTTCAGCCCAAAAAAAAAAATAAAAAAATAAAAAAATTATTTGCCATTTTTCAAGGGTCTATCATCAACTAAGAGTGACCATTTGAAAATTAGGTTAAACCATGTAAAGGCAGAGGATAAAAAATCAACAAATTCTGGATATATCAATATTCTATTGGGGTAAGGTCAAAATTCAATTTTGAGTTTGCAGCTGTACTTGTAACTTGCGTTTTCAAACAAATTGTGTTATCATAGCTGTTTTGGAAGGCCTAAAAAACAAACACCCCATCCAACCAGAGGTTTTGTAGTTTTCCCAAGTGGTAGGAACAACTCAGAAGCGGAACATCACCGTGAAAAGAAAACTCACATCAAGCGGCGAAAAGGATGAAAGAAACTCACCGTGGACGGTGGAGCAAGGTGGTGGCGCAGCCTTCCAGTTGAGACGCAGCACGTCACAGGGTTCAGTGATACGAGTAAATTTTCACTAAATATTATAAATATCTGGGCTTATGTAGGTGACTAAGTGAGTATTATGTTTTTAATTTACTACGGTAAATTATAACACGTACATATATTCTCATTATATTTTTGTGAGAATACTTCATTTTGAAAGGAAAAGATATATTTACTATCAAAAAAGATTATTATCTTTATAACTAATTTAATTATCGTTGATTTCCGTCAATCTAACGGTTATAATTTATTCGAAATTATTGGATCGCGTTTATTAATTAATTATTAATTCTCAATAAATCTAATAAATTATAATCGTTAGATTAACGAAGATCAACGGTGATTAGATTAGTTATAAAGATGGTAAACTTTTTTGGTGATAAGTACATCTTGCCTCATATAAAAGTACATAAATCTTATGTGGGCTCTTATAACAAAAAGAAAAAAGTATAAATTTTACATATGGGAAAAATATTTCTCAAGCTGCTTGAGATAAATTTATCTCCAGCCACCTGAGAAATAATAAGCCCATATATATATATATATATATATATATGTATGGCTTATCATTTCTCAAGTTGCCGGAGAAAAGTTATCTCCGGCTACTAAATCATAACCGTACAAAGATGGATAGATGGTGATAAAGAAAGAGAGAGAAAAAGGAATCATAACCATTCAAAGGTGAATCAATTAATATAAGAAAATAAATAAATAAAACGACGTAGTTTTGAAGTGGCCAGAGATAAACTTATCTCAAGTTGCCGGAGAAATATTTTTCCTATATATATATATATGGAAACGGATCCAATATATATATATATATATATATATATATATATATATATATATATATATATATATATATATATATACACATATGGAAACGGATCCACTTACCACAAAAAAGTTTACAACTCTTACAACCAATTTAATCACCGTTGATTTCCGTCAATCTAACGGTTATAATTTATTAAAAAATAATAATATTTATTGTGTCACATTTATTAATTGCCAATAAATTATAAACGGTAGATTGACGGAAATAAACAGTGATTAAATTGGTTGTAAGAGTTGTAAACTTTTTTTGTGGTAAGTGGATCCTCCCTTATATATATATATATATATATAAAGATTATGAGGAGGGATATTCTCACTACCAAAAAATTTCACTACCAACTTACTACCTATCTAATTACCATTAGATTAACATTTTCTCTCTCTTCAAAAACTTTTTAATATTCTCTCTTTTTGATCTAATGGTGATGTGATGGGTAGTAAGTTAGTAGTGAGAATTTTTGGTAGTTAGAATATCCTCACTCAAAGATTATACTTATAGCTTATTTTATATTTATAATCTATTTTTGTTTACAACCTCTTACAATCATATCTTAACTTTTGATTTCCGTCAATCAACTGTTATTATTTCCAAAAATCAAACTCATTAATTAATTATTAATTCACAATAAATAATAACCATTGATTGAAGAAAATCAACGGTTACGATATAACTGTAAGAGATTGTAAACAAAAATAGATTGTAAGTATAATATACCTCATATATATATATAAATATATATACGAGCTAATTTTATTTTCTAAAAAAAACACCAAACCCAATAATTTAAGTGCATTTAACACTAATTGTTAGGGTGTGTTTTGTAAGAGGATTCTTTTGAGATGCCTCGTAGAGTGAGGGTGAGTATCTAAAAATATCATGTTTGATATCACTCGAGCTTTGATGGAATAAGAAGGAGTAAAGTTTATGAGAAATCCATGGAGCTTTGATATTCACCAACAGCATGAGACATAAAATTAAGAGTGTAAAGATTATTTTTGTAAAATCATCTCATATTTCCAATAATATTTGATAATCAACCAAATATATAATCATTAATCTTGATTTAATATTCTCGATAATATTTTGACTTATTAAATAATTCATTTTCTTATCATAAAATTATGATTTCCGATCACAAAAAAAATTTATAGTGTATCAAACATAATTGTTAAAATCTCGATTTATCACTACGATTTTACGTTTTTACAATTTTTTTCATCAAAATAATTTACCAGTATATTCCAAACGCTTTTACGTTTCTATGATTTTTTACGATTTTTTTACATTATAATTTTATATTTTACGATTTTTTAGCCGCCTTCCGATTTTAGTTAAGATCTCGATTTTAACAACTTTGGTATCAAGTACCCCTTAAAATTATCTCGGAGGAGAGGGGGTGGGTAAACTTTTTATTAATTTATTCACTTGCTCCAAGACAGTGCTTTAAATTAGGGAAACGACGACACTTACGGCTTTATTTGAGAGTTTGGAGAGGAAGGAAAAGAAGGGGATCCAAGGAAAAGGAAGGAAAGATAATTAAAGAGTATTCTCTTCCCTTATTTGAGAGTTAAAAAAATGGTAAGAAAAAATTGGAGGGTGGGAAGGATTTTGGAGGATTTTGCAAAAATTCTCAATTCCATTCTCCCATTTTTTTGAACTCACAAACAAAGGAAGGGATTAATAAAATCTTCCCATTCCCTTCATTTCCCTCCAAAAATTAACTCCCAAAACAAAAGGCTTGCTTGTTAACTGTTTTGTAAAACAGTTTTTTGTTTTTAAAAACAAAAAAATGAAAAAACTTGATTGAAGAGGCTGTTTTCACTCATCGTGTTTTAAAAACCGTTTTTGTTTTTTGGTTTTAGAAACAGAAAAAGCAAAACAACTCTGGTGTTTCCAAGGTTGTTTTCTGGTTTTTAGTAAAGTGCGGTGGCATTTTCGTAAATAAAGGGATTAATTAATGGCATTTTCGTAATTAGATCAATTTTTATTTTATTTTACATTATTTTGCGGTGGCAATTTTGTAAATACGAGGATTCATTAATGGCATTTTTTTAAATAACTACATCTTCCTTATAACTTTAAAACTAATCATATTCAAACAAGTTTTATTGTTTTTTTACTCTCAAAATCAGTTTTCAAACTTCATTCTCAAAACAGGTTTTAAAAACAAAAAAGCAAAAACACATTCGAACAGGAACCTAAGACTTTGTTTGATTAGTGTTTCTAAAAACAGTTTTTTAATTTTCAGAACAAAAAAACAAAAAAACTCGTTTGGTAAGACCTGTTTTGTAAAAAATATTTTGAAAACTATAACTGTCTTTTTGTTTTTTTGGAATCAAATTTAGAGAACATGTCTGAGGTATTTTTTGTTTGTTTTGGTTTTTAACTTTCAATAAGAAAAAAATATAGAAAATAACTGTTTCCATAACTAGTTTACAAAATAATTTTAAGAACAAAAAAATCAGAACACAATCAAACAGACCCTAAGGGGGCGTTTGGTATGAGGGTTTTTTCAGGATTCTCGGAAAACTGAATTTTTCAAATTTTAAATTTTTAGATAGTTTCGTAAACTGAATGTAAAAATTATATTTTTAAAAATTGAGATTCCCGAAAAAAAAAAAAATTTCGTCTACCAAACGCCCCCTAAGTTTTTCAACGAAAAGACTTTGAATACTGTTTTGAACTCGAAAAATGTACCATTCACGTCAACTTGATTTTTAGAAATTTGAGACATCATATTAATTAAATATTTTAGATAAATGTACCGCACATTAACAAGATGAATATTTATCATACTAGAATCTAAGATAAATATTGTTTTGACCTTCTTCAAGCTGTTTAGAAAACTGATACTAAAAAAATCGTTAAAGAGAATATTAGTAATATTAAATAAAAATCATATAAAATATACTTTCACATAATAGTACTTTTTAATGGTTTAGATAAGTCCCCACCTTAAAATTTACGTTAAGAAAAAAAAAAAAAAAACTGTGCAAATATGACTGCTATTCTATTATTTTTCTTCCTTCGTCGTTTCCTCGTTTTGTCCATACTCAGTTGACATGTGAACTGAAGCACACTTATGACTTAACTGCTGTCCAAAGGGTTATAGACAAATGATTTTGCTTTCATTTTCATTGAGTTACAGTTTTGTACTCTTGAGAATTCTATGGGTTATCTGTGCAGTCTAGGTTCATTTGTCATTTGCATTCTGATTCTGATGTAGCTCCAATTTGTCCAATGGAGTCTCAATTCAAGTAATATGTTGTGTGACTTTTCTAAGTGGTACATCCACTTTCTGTTGGGCTTTATCTTATCTTGTGTTTGGCCTCTCTTCGTGGGCAAATATTGTGACTTATCCTCTACTTTACAACAGGAGTCTCATGACTCCTCCACTTTTTATTCACCAAAACTAGTTAACAAACAACACAAACTAGAGTTACATGATTGTAACACTAGGCACTAGCAATCCATGAATTAGATGCGGAAGTATAAGATATGTAGATGAAGCTTTAGAGTTATTCTCACTCATTTAAGATATATCAATTAAAAAATCAAACCAAATAATCAAATATTTTCGTTGGATTACTTTAAGAATACACCGACTTTTAATTTATTTTTTTTCAAGTTTAAGAATATAAAGTTTACAAATATCATTACTCTTATCTTTGAGATTTGTATAATAATAATAATAATCATACATTATTTTCATTATATTAGTCTATATTATTTTTTGCAATAATAAAATAAGAGATGTGAATTAAGAAGTACAAATATCAAATTGCTTCATACAATGAATGAACTCATGATCAACGATCAAGATTAATTAAAAGTAACAAAAGCCGGTGTACCCTGCCTCACCATATCCAACAACCATGCACTTACGGCGCGTTTGTCGCACGAGGTGACAAGATCATGTGTACATTAGCGCAAACCCCCACTATTTTTTTATTTTTTTTTTTAAATTCTCAATAATGTAAAAGATGTCTCTTCCAATTGTTAAATAATTTTAGAATTTGTTATATATAATTACAATTTTAACTATTAATTAAAAATAATTACATTCTTTTTTTTTTCTCTTAAATGTATCCGTTAATTTAGAAAGCATGATTTTATATTTTTATTAACAAAGGTTAGCAACCCAGTTTTTTATGCCATTGTTTTTAACACTTTTTTTTTTTTGGACTCTTTTTATTTTTTAACGTAATTGTTATTGTTGAATCATGTAATATACTTATTTTGATATTTTTTAATTATTAAATAAATATAAGAGGTGACACAATAATAAAAAAGGGTTTATACATCTTATAAGATGAGAATTTTTGCAACACACACATTCTTAGGTGAACTCTATTAAAAAAAAGTAAATTAAAAAATTAAAAATATTAACACGTAAAACGATATGAGTGTAGTATAAAAAAGAAATATAAATCCCTAATAAAAAAACATGTATTAAAAAAAATGTCGAATAAAATATGTAGGCATGAATGATAAATGGAATTAAAACACTAGAAAACTTACAAACGCAGCCAAAAGCTACATGCATTGGGGAGTGTGCTGTGTTGACAGGTACTCCATTTTTTCCTATTTGCTTCCCCAACAAGGAAAATCACCCTCACCTGAAAATACTTGAGCCTCCTCATACGTTTCTATTGCTGGTTATGCTGTTCCCCCCCCCCCCCCCCCCCCCCTACTTATTATTGGTTTTTTTTTTTTTAATTTATTCTAATTCGTTGGAATTAGACCAGGTATCATTTGACCTCAAAGGCTTAATCTAATGTTTTCTTTCTATCTATGCAGCTTTATTTTTTATTTTATTTTTATGTGGTTTCATTTTGTGTGTTTTTCACTTTTTTGTGGATAGATACTAAGATTTAAGTGGTGGGTGACTGCGTGTTGAGGTATGGCTTCGTCTCTGTTACTGGCGGTGGTGTTTGTGTTTGATCTGATTGCTTTTGGTCTTGCTGTTGCTGCTGAGCAGAGAAGGAATAGTGTGAGTCACTCTCTTTTGCTTGCTCTTTTTTCCTTAGAATCTTCTTTTGCTATGATCTTATGATTTTGTTTTATGTTTTTTCTTTCTTTCTTTCTTTCTTCTTCTTTTCTTTTCTATTTGGTGTATTTATGCATTCTCTTTTGGATACATAGCATCTAAGAGGGATTATGATATCCAATTGAAAAATTCTGGATTAGTGATTGTGATAAATATTTGTAAATGTTGATTTTATTAATTATTGATTTTAGTATAAAAAGATAAGTTATTCAGTGCTTGTTTAGTCTGTTCTCTGTTTGCTGAATTTTCCTTGACTTCTTATTGAAATTTGACGGGGCTAGTAGACTGTTTTTTTTTTTTCTGTTTTTGTAGAAAAACTTGTTTACCTTTTGTCTAATCACTCCTTTGACCAAAACATATATTGATCGGGATGCGGCTTTTATGTTTCAGAATGCTAGGAATTACTGTACCTGAGAAATTCACTACCATATACTATCGAAATTTTCTTGCTCTGTGTTGAATCATTATTGCTGTAAATTGAATTCTGGATTCATGTCTGAAAATAATGTTGTTTATAGTTCCACATCCACATAATGAATGTATGAGGAAATTGTGGAGGAAGGACATACATTTTGTTAAAAAAATTGCAATTTCAAATGTATAGAAATTGAAAAGTGGTTGAGTTAGGCAGTTCAAGAAGAAAATTTAGGCTTGACCGTTGGGGATTTCAGCTGTTCATCACTCAGAAAAAGGAGATATGCTAATATATTGATAAAAGGATAAAACTTAAACCTTTTAAAATTGTCTTGTTGACATGCTGCAGTCTGCAGGATAATAGATTATGCTTCCTGTTGACTTGTTGACATGCTGCAGTCTTGTTGACTTGTTGACAAACAGAATCTGATCTATAGTCATATCACAAATGTATAGAATCTTTTAACATAAGCTCCTTGCTTCCTGAAATTTTTCTCAGTTATATTGAAATATAGAATACTAAATACTTCAAAAACTTATAGTCATAAAAGACAAGTGGTTTTACAGTTCAGTTTATATGAAGTTATGTTCAAAACAGAGAAATGTCGGCATATAAGTTTGAGTGGTTTACTAAGAGTTGAAGGGAAAGTCCATTTAGTGATAGAACATGTAGGGGAACTACCTACCTTTGGGGGTATGAAGGAGTCGAGCCATTCCTGAACTAATCGATCTCAACTTGTTAAATGACTGACCGAGTTAAGCAAACAAGCGTAAGTTTGAATTTGGACTCCATTATATGAATTAGCCGAGCTCAAGCTTACTAGGATTGACATTAAAAGCTCATGAGCGGCTATTGTGGATGACAAAAAATTGTAAATTTAGATAGGGGAGTTTACTCCATTTATGTTTTCAACGTCGGGCATTTTGTCTTTATCACGTTTCTTTTCCTTTTCTTCTTTGTACTAAAATATTTTCAATTAATTTACATTAGCTTTATTCTTTTTGTTTGAGACATCAATCCTATGTTTTTGACTATGGGACAGTTAAAGCTATAAAGAGGTAATTTTCAGTTTACAATCTCTTTATTACATTCGAAAATGTGTTTTTTCCTCCTTCTGTGGTAAGGTACTGGGAGAAGTTTCATTAGTATAGTTTACATATCGTGAGATAACCTTAAACTCTCTGTATGGTGAATGTGGGAGCCTTGTTCCCATTAAGATATTTTGGCAGTTGAACCGGCTTGTACCTTCAATGTTCCCTCGTGATTAAATCCTAAATTGTGGTCTTAGAAAATGGAAAGACTTTTAAAAAAAAAAAAAAAATGGAAAGAAGAATTTTGTGACTGTTGTCTGACTTTACCATCAGATGGGGGATAAATTAATGGGGATTTGAATCTGATACAATTGTTGCAATGCATTCAGTAATTCCCGGATGCATTATTTTTTATTTCAAAGAAACATTAGAATTAATATGGTGTAGAATTATGTTCACAAGGAACAACAACTATTTTGCCTTTAGTTGGGAAGACAGGTCCAATAAAACATGTTCTAGAATCAGTTTCTTCATTGTACTGTACAGTACACTATTAGCTACTAGTTTAACAATAGGGTACGAAGTTGTGATGGAATAAAAGCCAGGATTTTGTCAAAACTGGAAACAAATCTTTGCAGCTTTGAAATGGGTTCAGTTAATTGTAATTATTTATCCTGACAGGCAACAATAGCCACAAATAATGAAGGTAGAAAGTACTGTCTATACGATTCTGACATTGCAACCGGCCTAGGTGTGGGATCCTTCTTTATCCTAGTTGCCAGTCAAGTGATCATAATGGTTATAACTAGATGCCTGTGCTGTGGGAAAGCTATGAGACCTAGTGGATCCAGATCATGGGCAATATGCTTATTCATCACTAGCTGGTATGTGTCTCTAAATTGTTCTTTTTATTATTTCACAGAAACAAAGGTTACAAGACCAAATATGTTGTTTCCCTTTTATTTCCAATTCTTAAAATTTGCTATCTTGTTACATTTATGTTTCAGGGCGACATTTATTATTGCTGCATCTTGCCTGCTAGCTGGTTCTATAAGGAATGCTTACCATACCAAGTATCGTGACATCATGGGAGAGAATGCCCCTTCATGTCAAACATTGAGGAAAGGAGTGTTTGGAGCTGGAGCTGCCTTCATTGTTCTTACTGGCATAGTCTCGGAGCTTTATTACGTTAGTTTTTCAAAAGCTAATAATAATGGTCCCCCTCCCTATGCTCGGGACACTGGTGTGAGGATGGGCAATTTGTAGTGTAGTGTAGTGTAGTGTATCCCACTTAGGAGTAAGGAAAATGTTTCTATATGAATTCATGTTTATGTTATGAATGTGAAAGCCTACTTGTAAATTATGAATCTCGATTGAAAAAGACCCTAAAGCCTACTTGTATATTATGAAGTTCGGTTGAAAAAGACCCTATGTTTTAACTGTATTCTATGTTTCGTTCATTTTGACTCTTCAATCATGTTGGAATATATAGTGCCTTCCAGCCGCGGGTCACACTTATATAACCCCACTTCCATAAAGAACTTTTCATGATAAAATATGAAGTAAGATACCCATTTTAGTCCTTTGAAAATGCAAGTAATACCCATTTTGGTGTGCCTTTGGTATATTAAGAGATTAAAATGAATGTTTACGCTCTAAAATATAATTTGTAAAAGCATTAAAAATAATGAGTATCTCGTCTCACAAGTAATGAGTACATTTACTAGCGTAGGTAGGATAGGTTCTCAACCTGTTTCGTGTTCTATTTAACGTAAGCAATCAACCTTGAGTCTACTATAGGTTGAGCTAAAGTGGGGAATGATTATATTCTTTGCCTGCTAGGTTGAAAAACGAGTTGCTAGTGATTCCAATATACGTTTTCAAAATGGTCCAATCTTTTCAACTGTCCAAGACAAATTATGTACCCTTGCTATTCCGGCATTGATTGGCTTCAAATCAATACCCTACTTCTCTGTAGTCTCTAATTAGTCATCACAGAGCTTTGCACTTCAACCTTTGGAGGACCAGCTTGTGAGGCCATGCTAGTTATTTGGTGAGTCACTGCCACTGTCGTCCCAAGTAAAATCGTGAAATTCTATATGATGGTAAATGTGACTTAGTTGGAGGAATTTATTTACTAAAACTTCATACAGTTGTCACTAATAACTAGTAATGTTAACTTTTACACGCACGGTTGCATGAGTTTAAGTGGTCCTGTGTAAATTGCAGTTGTGGTTAGTTGTGATTCTAATAATTATGTGAGTACGAAATTGATAATTTTTTTAGGCCAAATAGACAATTTTATCAATATTGAATAAAAAAGTTTCATACTATTCAAGGGTTAACAAAATATGGGAAAGTCAACCAAATGATGGTAATTCAGTTGACGCCAAAAAACTGAGCAGATGAGAGTGAGAGCATGTGTTTGATCCTCTCCAGTACCATCTTTAAGAAGAATTTAAAGCTTTAATTCCGGGACCCGTCCTGAATCGGACTAGTCGCAAAGTGATGAACTGATTAAAATATCTTAAAATAAATAAATAAATAAATATGGCTCCGCCAACTTCCTTCACCGTGTGGGATAAAGTTTTGGTCATCTTGTAGTACATATTAAACCCACTTAAATTACAAGATATGGATTCAATTAACTAAAATTACACCCATTTTCTTAACTTCTTTATTTATGCAGTTAGTTAAGTCCATATATGTAATATGCATTACATGTGGACTAAAATTTATCCCACTCTACAACTTTAGTTAAGAAAAGGATATTTGTCCACATTATATGAGATATGTATAAAATCCAGACTATAAAAAAAAAAAATATTGCAATGGACCTAAGATTGTTATTCAATAATTTGAACAGTGTTATTGTACAATTCTATCCAGGCTTATTTTTTAATGCAAATTTACATACAACTTAATGGGTATACGTATTTTTTTTTTTCAATATGTAATTATGAATAAATCTTTAGTACATTAGATGCGGCGAATTTAGTGTATTTGTTTATTCATTTTATGATATATGGACAAAAAGATATCATATTATTTGTCTTTTTTAGATGATGTGATATTTTTTATTCATTTATCATAAAATAATTAGGCAAATGTAATAAATCTTCTATGTATCTAATGCATTATTAAAGATTTATTTCACCCCTGCCAATGTAAGTAACAATGTAGGTACTAATTTACCAAAAAAAAAAAAAAAAACAATGTAGGTACTATATAACACCCTAGGAGATAGACTGGCTGTTGTGCTGTCTTTTACTGGCCCTACTAGCAAGGTGACTCAAGATTTTCTAAGTCATATTTAATACTATATGGGAAAAGAATGCGTATTTCATCAGAATGATTGTGGCAGCTGGTTAAGGGAGGCTAGAGTCCTCACATGCATAAAGTACAAAGCTGCTAGTGTTTACCAATTACTCAGATTATTCAAATGTAAGAATCATATACAGTAATTGAATGTTTTCAATTTAATGCTCGTGATTCAACAAGTTAGATCTAAATTTGATCCAATTACATTTTAAAACTCTCAGAATATCCTCTATGTGAGACTTGATGTATAAAAGGGGTCTACCATTGGTCCATAGCAGTTCAATAATAGAAGAAACGACAAACAGAAACAACCCTTGAAAATATAGTGGCCCAAGACACCGTACACTATTCTATTAAATTGGAATGAAGAATGAAAACACCATGTGATCTAAAAAGCTCACAGAGAAATGATCCAGAGGCATATAATAGGAATAGAATATCAATAAAAAACTGAACAACCAAAATTCTTTTCAGTCCCAGGATAAAAGAATGATTCTCAAGAAGTGGTGGTGGTGATGAATCATGAGCAATAAAATCCATGTGATAATATCATTCCAACATATGTACATATCCACAAGAATCTTCCATCACATTATTCTGTCAGTTCAGCAGTGCTGGATCAGACCCCATACCTATAATCATCCCCATCACAAAGCACTCAGAAAACTTAAAAAAAAAAAAAAAAAAAAAATCTTATGTTGATGAATATTTCTAGACTAGTTGCATACATTAATATACCATTTTATTATAGATTAGAGGAAATGATCGAAAGATGAACAAAGAGGCAAACAGAGTGGGTTACAACTAATTGGGACCCCTTGCTTGAAGCTGAAGCTGAAGCTGAAACTAAAACATGACAGCTCCAATCACTACTCTTTGTAAGAATTACAGGTGCAAGAAAGACAGGCATAGAATATGCCACGTCTGGAAACAACAACACTTACTAATCTGTATGAAACATAAAACACCCCAATTAAATTAAATAACTAATCTTTAGACACTATCACATGTTGCTTTTTTGTTTTTTCCGTCTCATGGTTTGATATCAGAATCATCCCAGGGATCTTTCAGATCAGTTGAGACCAAAGAATCAATGTCCTCCCAATTCCAATAGTTTGAAGTTTCCATGCCAGCACTTGTTGCTGCTGGTATCTCCCATGGCTGTGTGTTACTCCCACTTGTGCTGGGCATTATGCTGTTGATGGTTGGTTCCTCCATTGTTTTAAACTCCTCCCCATAGTTATAAACATTGGAGGATCGCAGAGAAGTTGATACTGCACAAGGGTTTGTGTCAAAAGAGCTTGAGGTTGAGAAGGGAAAGAGTAGGCTTTGGTTTTGAGGAAGAGGCAAAGTTGAACTCAGAAAGATGCTATTACCAATACCAAAATCTTTGCTTTCTAAGTCTCCAGTATTCATCAGATTCTGTTGTAGCAGCAAAGATGGTGGACGAATCAAAGCTTGAACTTGATAGAAAGAGGAAGGCATGCTTTTCTGATTACTCACTGCAAGAGGAGTTTGATTCATTGTCATGTGGCTACTTGACCCACCACCCATGTTGCCAATTGAGGTGGAGACAGTGGTGGTGCAAGTAGAGGAGGTGGTGGCTTTGTTGGTGGAGGAAGATGTTGGGGTGGTTGATTTTTTTACCCTCTTATTCTTCCTGCCACCACCAACGGGAACATTGCGTAAAGTTCCACCTTTAGTCCAGTGCCTCTTGCAAGCTCTGCAGAAATGGCGAGGCTGAGACTTGTTGTAGTTGTTGTAGTAACAAAATTTGGTGTTTGTAGAGTCACATCTTGGGCAGTTCAAAGACTCTGATTGCTGAGTTTGTTGCTGTTGTTTCCTCATCAGATGAGGCTTTGGTAGCTCCAAGTTTTGAGCTTCCAATAAGGTTTGTTTCCAATCAAGTCCACTACTTGAAACCTGCTTAGAACTCAAACCCATATCTTAAATTCACCCTTTCAAAGCACTAATAACCAGAAAAGCAATAAGATCAAACCGTGAAGGAAAAAAAAAAAAAAAAAAAAGCAGAAAATTTTAGCCCTTTGATCGAGATGCTAGAAGAGAAATCAGTCTGAAGGATAACAAGAGGATCAGATTGCTGCTTATAGCACAAAGCATGTGCAAGTTTAAGGAAATTGGTGACTTGGAGTGGTTTAATGGAAGGAAATGCCTTTGGTGCTGTTGAGAAGTAGTGAGCATGTCTTTTATCTGATGTCTATATCTAATGCCTATTTATGATCTTATCTATCTGTAAAAGGACCAATAATTATAAACAACAAGATCAGCGGAAATTACTTGAAGTTGTGTGTGTTGAAGGGTTGGATTACTGTTTGTGGGGATGGTGTAGTGGATGGGGCAGTCCTATAAAAATTTAATGCAGACCTTGGTAAACAACCTAGGAGTTCAGTTTTCTTGTTTCTCACACACAAGTATTATAGAAAGGGATAAAGGGAGAAAAACTTAACCCCTAAGGTGAAGATGGGTGGTTGACACGTGGAAGGTTTTATGCCGCTGATAGTGCTCTCTATGTGTTTTGGTTGTTAAAATGAAACGTAGATGTGCATGATGTAATGGTATGCTATATATATATAATAATTTAATTCTATAGACTTGGCCACCAATCCAATACAAAGTTGGCAAGAAATAAAAGAAGACAAGTACACTAAGGTCCATGGGCTATATAAATGGGTTATTCATTAGGGGAAAGGGGGTGGCTATAATAGTGGGACCAAAGATTCTTAGCAAGGTTAAAAACAGTTGGCAGAAGCATGGTAACATGGTTTCTAGTGGGACACAATAGAAAGACTAGAGGTGGTGGTGATTTATGGTCCTAACTCCTATGTAGCAAGTTGGGGATATCTATGTGTTGCATGCACGTGTCAAGTTTCTTGTCTATGCATATAAGGGTAGGTGTTGATTTATGTACTCATAATATGTTAGCTAGAGCGCAAAAACTAAAAAGGAGACTTGTGGGGGTTGTGGACCTCATATAATTTGTTTGTTAATTACATAACATAGCTCAATGCAGCATATTGCAACTTGTTTGGATCTTAAAGAGTGTAATTGAAGGTTGTAGCAATTATTTGGACGAGAAAAGGACAACTACCAGAGCAGAATTTGATGGTCAGAGACATCACAATTTTCATAACCACTCAGTCAAATAATTTGAACCTTGAAAGCCTTGAAAACAGGGGGATTCTTGTGGAAATATTCTTACATTGTTTTTGGGAAAAAATGTTTATCCTTTTAAATGACACAACTTATATCCTTTCACTCTCACAAAGAGGTGGGACCACATTTTTATTTTTTTTGTCAACTCTCTCTCCTCCTTTATCTATCTCTTTCTCTCTCTTAAAATGACATAGCTTTACATTCTTTAAAATGACACACACTTTACCCTTGTTTTTGATAGACCTTTAAACTCTTTATTTTACATTAAATATTGTTTTATTAAAAACCTCTAATTTACTACTTACTGAAAGGGCCTGCATCAGGAAAAATTGAATATAATTCAGAAAATTAATAAGCAAACACTTTAAAATTTCGTTCATTGAAATGTCCATTAAACATAAAAAGTGAACAAAGATACATATCTGGTGTTAAGTATTGTGTAAACAATGGAATCAATATAAGCATTTCAAATGCTAGATGTTGTCAAATTTGAACGTCTGAACACAAATTCAGGTACAATGGATCGATAGCAGCCGGAAGTTTGGTCAAAGAATAACCAGGAAGTGTTACATAGACGCATTTGATTTTCACAATATGACAGGAAAGTTTACAATAATGTGAATTTCAAGTTACTCTATGAAAAAAAATTAAATAAATGTCACGACAATTTTGCGATAAATATAAATGCGGTGTTTTTTTTTTCCTTAGTTAATTTAGCTTCATATATACCTCTTTGTGCAGATTGATGTAATGAAATACATTCATTTCTTCCCTTTTCATAGATAAAACACATTCATAGAAATGGATAAGTGTTTGAGATACATTCTCTCTTTAATTAAATTCGTCAATTGATCCTATTCATCTACCTGCATTCTTTTTTATAAGCTTTTACTTTCTTTCTTTTTTTGATACATAAGCTTTTACTTTGAAATCACTTAAGAAAACTATGGCATGTTAAGAAATGGCTTAAAAATTAAACATAATTATAAACATGAATTGAATAGTAATGAATGAATTGAAGAGAAATAATCACGCCATAATTTCTCCAACTTGGCCGCCACAGGTTTAAGATTTGAGGACCACAAAAGGCAGAGGCACATGCACATATATAATTAAGCCACGATTAGGGTGTGAAATCACAATTAAAAAGAATTGATTAAACTTGACCATTTTGAAAGGTTGAACTGAACACTGGAGAGAATGTGCATGGAAAATCAATGTTGGTCGGTTGGTTAGGTAAAGGGAATGTGGTGGTCGATAGCATCAAATTGAAGAGGACAAAACAAAGAATGTTTGTTGTACAGATTTGAAAATGACAAGGTGAGTTAATTTAATACAAGTTGAACTCTTGAGTAAGGGAAGAGTCTATTATGTCCAACTAAGATGCCACTTATGTCCATCAAACTACTTTACATTAATAACTCACGCTCACTGATTAGTCCTTTAAAAATTTGATTAAGGATCTATAAAACAGATTCGCGTGGCCATGCTTTGGTGACTCTTGCCGTTGCTGGTGGAGCCAAGCAACCACATGATTTTAGTTTCATACTTAAACATTATTGTTAAAGAGAAATGTTATAGTTACAACTTATTTTTGTTTATAATTTCTTACAACCATATCTTAATCGTTGATTTCCGTCAATTAATGATTATTATTTATTACGAATTAATAATTTGATTTGAGAAAATAATAACCGTTGATTTGCAGAAATCAATGATTAAAATATGGTTGTAAGAGGTTGTAAACGAAAATAAGTTGTAAGTATAATTATCCTTATTGTTAAATATAGACCTATTAATTTAATTTTAAACTAGTTTAAGTATTTTGAATTTAAATGATCCCTTACATGATATTTTTTTGACCCATTTAATGCGAAAAGTGAATTATTTTCCCTCATTGATTCAAAAATCAAATACTTTCCCAACATTATATAGTGAGACGCACATAAGGTGTACGCATTTAAGTCGTGCATAGAGTGATATGTGACTTGTGCAAAAGTCAATATGCATCTGTCACATATTGTGCATTGTAAGTCGCGCACCACCCCCCATGCATGACAAGCAGCACACAACATGTGACAATTTGCATAAGTCGTACATTACCCCATGTGCGACTTAAACACATACTACCCACCCCATGTGCGACTTAAATACATACTACCTTCATACGTCTCTCGCTGCATTATTTTAGCAAAATATTTCACTTTTGAATCAATGGGAAAAATATTCCCCTTTTGACATTATTATGGTCAAAAAGCCGATAGTGGTCGCAAATCAATTGTTTGTTTTTCTTAATTTCCTCTTTAATTAAAAAAAAAAAAAAAACAATTGTTTGTTAGTTAATTGCCATTGCTTCGGTAAGAAGGAATAATTTGCTTACAATCACGAGTACACGTGTAGCAGCATCAAGGGCGGTGATTGGGCTACCTGATGGACCACTTTGGCAATTGATGCTTCCAGGTTGGAACATAGATTTCGATTTATGTTTTTGGTTTTGTTTATCTTGTTGCCTATGTCCTGTGTGACTATATTTGACATTCTCTACTACTTTTCTTTTGTGATGACTTGATGAGCATGTTGCTTAATGCTTAGGTAGTTTCTCAGCTATACCCATTTATTTTTTGTTTAAGGAGAACTTGTTGTGATGAACTACTTTTAAGGGAAGCATTCAACAGTTCCTGCTTCCTAGGTTTGTTGACACGTGAAAATGTTATGTTATTCCATGACTATTTTATTTTTTAAAATTTAATTGGAAGATCATATATTCTGTATAGTAGTGTTGTTTCTTGGTAAAGTGGAATATGGAAACAAAGTTATTCCCCCGGTGGACAAGCAAATGTGACTTTTATTCTAACGTGTGTTCCATGCTATGTGTTGTATATTATATTTCTTCTAGATATTTGTAACATGGAAAATGAAAGTGATATAGTGACTAGTATAACACAACGGACAAAAGGGTGAAAGTTACGTTAATGGTCGTATCGAGTATGAGAATCTGTCCTTGATGACATGCAAGAACAAAACTGATATCTTTTTATGTATAATTTAATTTTACTAAATAAGTCTAAAAGAAATTTCTAGTGTTTTCAATTTTTTATTTCATATTGTGATTCCAATATTCTTAATGAAATATATTATTTAATGGATTTGTCCATTCTTAAATATTGAAATACAATGACATGATATCTTCTTTGCTTTCGCGTGAATAAAAGTTTATGAAAAAGGAAAATCGTTCCATTTTTAAAGTAATAAAATATCATAAATCTTAGCAAATGCACACTCTAAATAATGACATGTTGACATAAAACAGCATTTAGGCGTCAAAAAAATTGTCATCTATACACGTCGGTTGCCATATGCGTCAATTCAAATCGATATCACATCATAAAATGTGCCATTACTACCACATTTAGGTTAAACAGCGATCTCAAATCATATAGAAAATAATAAAACAATTTATAAGCTAAATTATTTTGTTATAAAATTAAAATGATAGGAAGTTATTTAGTCCTTACTAATAAAGTAGGGTTATATTTCAAGGATTTAATTTTTACCCAGTGACAATTAAAAAAATTATATTATTTTATCATGGAAATCGTTACAAAAAATATAACTATCACAATTACTATTTTAAAATTTCAGATTTTGTTTAATAATATACTAATACATTATTGAATTACATTATTAAAAACTTAATAATGGCTTTATTAAATTTAAACTCATATTTCCATCGCACAAGATACTTTTCATGATGTGATATCACGTGTGATAGGCTTTGTAAAGAACTTTGGGATACACCACCCCAAAAGCTAGCTCAAAAAGCTCAAAGGGTGGGAGTGTCCAAGACCTTATAAACTCCACATTAGTTGCACATACAACCAATGTGGGACTATATATCTCAACACGGCCCCTCACACGAGAGCCCATTGGGCTTGAAGAGTGGAAGATGCAACAGGTCCAGCCTACCTATGCTAAGAAAGTCCACAAGAGAAAGTGGGGGGCGGCGATGCTCTGATACCATGTAAAGAACCTTGAGGTCACCACCCCAAAAGCTAACTCAAAGGGTGGGAGTGTCCAAAACCTTATAAACTCCACATTAGTTGCACATACAACCAATGTGAGACTATATATCTCAACAATATTAGTGTATTACGTTGAGTGTGCACCAATAATGTTTTGAATAAATCTCAAGTCAATTATTAGATCTATTTAACATAACAGAGAGAATACTTCGTTTATAAGTATATTTTTTTTAACAGAAAGAACACCTTACTTTTGTAAAATTATATTATTCATAAATTTATAAGAAGGCTTACATATCAATATATATGTGATCTCGAGTCTAATTCCCTAAAGTCTTTGTTAAAATAGCTGACTCGGAAGGACGCTCAACCTAATTGTACATCACTAAGATGCAGGCCTCCATAAGGAGGGGATGCATGAGAATTATGCCACACCAGCATGATAACGATCGAGCTTACTAAAAGGTACCTGCAGTGGCTGAATCTTCCATTTGACACGTACGTACCAAACATGGTGGGGAAAAGCTATCAAATATGTGGGTCTATATCTAGAAAATTAGTACACCAAGCCATGACGAGTGGCTTCCCATTGTTTGACCTTTTAGATTGAACATTTTGTTGCCAAGTGAAAAGGAGTAGTCATTTGCCAAATGAGCACAAATGTAACTACATGTGACATGCATCCATTTGCATTCTCAAAAGCCATAACCAATGAGAACCCTCGATTTGAAATTTTGATAGGTATTGGCGGTGGTGGCGGTGGGACAAGAATATGATAGCACATATATGAAGTTCTACTGGCTGGGAACTGAGTAAGGAAGAAGTAATAGAGATATGACTGAGAGTGGTGGAGCCAAGCTCTGTTGCCAGAAGAATAATGGCATGCATAAGCCACTAACTGGATTGGACAGCCTCTAATAATTTCTTCCATGCGTCAACAGGTGTAACAAATATCATTTGCCGACACTCAAATAGTGATGAGTCTCGAGCTAAAATAACAGAATGCTTCTGCTGTTTGATCGCATCCTGTTTTCATAGTCTTAAGTGGGAATGATTCTGCATGGCCAAATGATTACTTTATTTGAATGAATACAATTCTTGTAAACTAGAATAACTGTACAGATAGATCCAACTTGCTTCTATCCCTATATGCGGTGTAAAAAATAGTCTGCCCATATATATATATATATGAAAAATCATTTTCTCATGCTATATGAAAAGAATTATCTCATATAGCAGAGACAATATTACAAGCGGAACTCACAAACAAGAGGAGAGAAAAAAAAACAGAGGTGGGACCCACCTCTGTTTTTTGTGTGTAGCAACTTGGCTTCTTTCATGTGAAATAAGAGAAATATAACCCTGTATATGTATATATATATATATATACATGAAAAAATATTTCTCTGGTCACAAGAGATAAAGAGTTATCTCCTGTTGCCCTAAAACGACGTCGTTTTCAGGTTTAGGATTAAAAATAAAGGGCATTTTAAAAATTTTACATTATATATATATATATGGATTTTATTAGTATCATGTTACATAACCCAATAAAACTTTCCTACACACACAATTAAGAGGTGGGATCCACATATTTTTTTTTCTCTTACATCATTTCACTTTCTCTCTCTTCTTTATTGTGAGGGTAGGAAAATTTTCTTATATCCTACAACATTATACTCATAAAACCCTATATATATATATATATATATATATATATATATATATATATATATATATATATATATATGAGTTTAGTGTTTCTCATGTTATAGGAAATAATTTTATTTCCTATACACATATAAAAATGTGTAGGATCCATATAGACCCATGTAAAGAGAAGAGAAAAAAAAAAACATGAACCCATACACTTTTATGTTGTATAAGAAATAAAAATTATGTCTTACAACATGAGACAATAAATTATATATATATTGATTTTTAATTAGAACCAGAACCATAAGATGTGATCTTAACTTTCAGTTTTAGAAAAATGGAAACAACAAAGGATCCCAAACTACAAGGCAGAATACTTCCACGACCCTGTTGGCACCAACAAACATCCATATCATACTAGGAATTATCACGCCTCTAATCATGTGGGTAATCTAAGTATCTGCCTCATGAACGGGTTTCGAAAACCAACAATCTTAATAATAATAATTCATTGTAGTGAATTTACAATTACAGCATCTGCCTCGTTCTGTATAAGGTATTCATTGTATAGCTGTATTACATTAGTAGATTCCTGTCTAAAAAAATGAAAGCTACTTGCAGACAATAACGTGAAAAAGATGCGATAAACACAGCTAACAACCAATTATCCGCTCCTCGTGGAAAATGACAATTGGATGAATAGATAAGTGCAGGGTCTCCCATTTACCTGAAAAAGAAAGAGACAAGGATCCAACCTTAAAACTTCTTGGACTTGCCCTCCTTTTCTTGCATCTTTCTCTTCCTCTTCTTCTGGTTCTTAAATACAAAAATAAAGACCTAAGTTAACAAAATGAAAAGGTTAATATTCATGTATATTTATATGTAGATTGAATGCAACACACCTCTGCAACCATGTCACTGAAATTCTCTTCCTCCCTTGCTTCTTCATACCTGGAATAGTTCCAGCAGAGGTAAGAAATCAGACCCATGATGTTAACATCACTATCAGGCAACAGAAGTTTGAAAAGAATAGACATACAACAATCTGATCAAAGAGAAGCTAAAGTTGATGGAAGAGCAGCAATAGAAAGACAAACTTGATAAAGCTGCCTTTCAGGTTCCTTCTGCGGCTGCTTACAAAGGTCAATAATAACATTAAGTATCTCCATTCCGGTGGGAGTGCTGTGGAGGAAAATGCAAAGGAAAAGAGGAAAGTAATGAGTTCACAAACACAGGTGATTAAGTACAATAAACCCCATCCCCAACCAATCTAAACACACCCACCGCAGCCACATACCCATATGTATATATTACAAAAATAGAGAATTATAAACATGGACCAGTTTAGCAAGAAATTTACACTCAAGGATCTTTGAAAGCTCGTGGTTAGTTATTTTAATTATTAACCACTCCTGAACTAAATTAGCCACGTGATTGTAACATAACACCAACAACAAAAGAAACTAAACGGTAACATAACAACACCTTGACAGACTATCAAAAGACTGAATACCAGCTTCAAATTCCTCCTCCTCCATTTCTTCTTCCTCGTCCTCCTCCTCCAAGTCACCCCAGTGTATGGTCTTATCAACTGGCTCTTCCTACATTGTGAGAACATTTTAAGTAAACTACAACCAGGAATAGCACAATCAAAAGAACCACATTTGAGTTGATACCAGCTCCTAACTTCGTAAAATTAGTTTGTTTTTTTTTTTTTTTCTAGTCCAGTATATTTTGCACTCAATCCAATCTACCTCAAGACTGTCTTCTAGGAATGAAAAGATGAGAAAGGGAAGAAATGATAGTAAGCAATGTATTTGTTGAAATTTTTCTTGTTTTCATCTCTATCATGTTTGCATGGGCTTAAACACAAACAAAAAGAGAACATAACACAACATACACCCACAAGACACTTATATTACCTGCATATTATTAAGCCATGGTGGAGGAGAACCCTCAGGCATGGCAAGAGCTTCTCTTAATTCATGTCATAACATGCCAGGTTTCATCTCCCTCAACTTTACCTGCACAGTGGTGGAACCTATGCGTATATGGATTATTTAACAACACCTGTTCAGCTCAGTAACAAACAAATAAACAGAGGACAGCAACGTTTCCATAATGACAGCAATAACATTTCATTGATTCAAGTTAATTAACTACAAATGGAAGAAATTTCCCTAATTACTGATTCCTAAGAATTGACTCCACCTATCACACTGTGACAGGGAAAATACAGACTCAATCAAACAATAAGAACAGCAAATAACAGAGAAAATGACAGACAATGCAAAAAAGATAAATCAAAAGACCTCAACTCACTCTCCAAGACCAACATACCTAGGCTCCAAAGAGATCCCAAGAAATCCTTTCCCAAATCCCCACTCACCAAATGCTCAATTCATGCTTACCTCCTACACACGCACTCTCCTTCTATTCCCTCCTCTCAGAATATTCTAGAAACTTTCCTAACAAACTAACTAACCTCTCGTCCCTTTCAGCCCATAGGCCCATCACACAGCAAACAACATAACAATGTCATTATATAAAATAAGAACCAAGTTATGACTTGCATAGGCGCCAAGTATCTTGACACTTAACCAGATCAATGGACACGTCTCATCAAAAGGAGTTCAAATAATGCAATCTTTAGACCAACCATTTTAAAGAAAAATAACTTTCGTTTATGATTAAGCTAAAGAGAAATACATGAACTTTCCAGTTTCCACTACTCAAGAAGGAGATAAGATAGAGGGAAGCTAGCTATTGGGTTTTATAAAATCCATTCTTCAAACCAGATATCAAATAAAAGAAACATCTTGAGTGAAGGCAGCTGTAACAAATTAGAATGGGTGACTCCAAATGGAATATTCATTGAGTGAAGACAGCTGTACTTACATATAATTCGACATACAATATATCTGCATCTACAAAAAAAGAAGAGAAAGTATGTGAAAGAGATTAGAGACTACTGATTTTTAATTAAAATAGCATCCCCCTAAATTAAACCACTACCCATTAAATTCCGACTAGCACGAATATGGATGCAGATAATCCTTGTACGTAGTCTTATCCTGACATATTTGCAAAGAGATTGTTTCACTTATTTAAACCTGTGACTTTTGAATTACAAAGGAACAACTTCACCGGTGCTTGAGAAAAACTCAAATAAGAGTAGAGATCAGCAGGAAGACTTACTAAAATGGCAATACGTCCTGTAGTGCCAAAAGCAGGTTGGCCAATGTCAGGGTATGTCTCAAGGCCAGGTTCATTGTCCAAGCAAGAACGCAAGAGCATCCCAGTAAAAAAGGAAATAACTGCAAAAATGAACAAGATAGAAAGCCCAAGCCATCCACCTTGTTTGGCAGCATAAGGTGTAGAAAGGATTCCTACACCACAAAGTACATTTATTCCTGCAAAATCCAAAATAAGAATACGACATACACGGTAAGCTGATTTTGAGTGCATGTTTTATGGTTTTATGCATTGCATAGGTGTCACATCAAGCTGTCATTACATAAATATACATGTCTCCTATCAACATATCTTAAGTTTCATGAGAGTGTATAGCAAGCCAAGGTTCAACTACTTACCATTTAGAACAGGTTGTCCAAAAGAGCAGTGCCTAGAAGGAATTTCATGAGAAACCTTGGAATCCTTCTTAAGCAAAGAAGACTTCCTAGAAGAAAGATGAGGAAGCAAGGCATGAGAGCTACGTCTCTGTTGCTCTTCTTCTGGTGGTTGAATCAGAGGTTTTGTTTCTGAAGGAAGTGTTTCAGGAGTGTGCCTCCTTGTCAGAGATGATGAAAAAAACTACTTAATCTTGTCAATGAGAATGGTCAATATAGCCCAATGACTGTCCGAGAATGCTGGAACAATCTTAGAATGAACTTTTATCACTTCACCATTGTCAATAACTTGATCATATTTAGTAGACTGCTTCAATATACCCTTGTCATCTTGGTAACAGTTGACTCCTGCCCTCACACCAAAAATTCATTGTCAATGTGCACCTTAATTTTCCCACAAGAGCCAATTTGATCCTTGAATGATCATAATGGATTTGTTACTATACGTGCTTCATCCAAGATTACTGTTCCCAGACAAATAAAGTTTAACATCACAAGACAATAATTGTTAAGTTATGATGCAAATAAAGATGTGGATTGTGGATGTTCAAGCTATTCCTAATTGCTTAGAATGCCATGATCAACGCCAAATAAAAAGGATATGGGCAGTCTCCCAGTTTCATGATCCCGCTTAAGACCTTATAGGGCATTTAAGACCAACTTATTTAGGGTTGATGGTTGCTACAGTCTAACATCATCTCATTGTCCGTCCAATAGACCATCTGTCATGCATTCTTCTTTTGTGTAAATACCTTTAACAACCTTTTAGCATCAGCCTTTTTTCCTGGTATAGAAAAATTTGAACTGATATATAAGAGAGTGCTCTCAGATGGCACATGTCCTTTTTCACACATTTCTTTCAGCAATTTTTTTGCCTCAGCCCGATATGACAGTTTAAGAGCCCTATCCATCTCTGGCTGATAGGATAGTTTGCACAATCCACAGATCAGAATGTCATATGTTGAAGAATTAGGAATTCTTCCTCTTGTCAGCATCTCATTCAAAAGTTCTCTAGCTTGACGCATCTTTCCTGCTTTTGCATAATCACTAATAAGCACATTATAGGTTCCTGTAGTGGGAACAAAACCTTTGGTTATCATTTCACAATAAAGTTTTATAGAATCCTGTTTATTTCCAACTCTACCATGGCCAGAAATCAAAATATTATAGGTAGCGGCATTTGGGACAATTCCCCTTTCCTGCATATCGCTAACTAATTTGTCCGCCTCTCCCATCAAACCAGCAGTTGAAAGGCCTCCTAAAAGGGTGTTGTAAGTCGTAATATTTGGAGAGATTCCATCAACCAACATCTGCGAATAAGTATTAAACGCCTTCTCCACATGACTGCCTGTACAGTAACCACGAATAAGGGCATTATAAGTAACAATATCAGCTGAAATTCCTCTTGTCGCCATTTCATTGAGCACCACATTTGCTTTTCTAGTCATCCCTAACCTGCATAATATAGTAATTAGAGTGTTATATACAGTCTGGTCAAGTTTGAGGCCCATAGCCACAAGCTTCTTGTGGATTTGTGAAATTGCATCTGCTTTTCTACTCCTTGAAGATGCTTTAAGCAGAAACTTGTGAGTAACTGGCATAGGTACAAACCCCATAACCAACATTTCATTCAAAATATCCATTGCTTTTTCAATTGCACCAGTTTTACAAAGCCCACCAATCAGAATGTTATAAGTGACCACATTTGGCATTATCCCGTGGCTCTTCATCTCCTTCAAGAGATCCAAAGCATTCTCTGTGTTACCTTTTATGCAGTATGTGTTAATTAGAGTGTTATATGTAACACAATCAGGAGCCAAACCCAACTCTATCATTCTTGAAAACACAGATTGTGGTTCATATTTCCCCAGCCTCAAAAGCCCCTTAATCAAAGCATTGTAAGCTACAACATCAAACCGAGTGTTTTTTGCTGTCATTTCCTGGACTATGGAAAGAGCAGCTGACTCGTTTCCTTCTTTAAAGTAGCCATCTATTAGAGAAGAGTAGTTAACAATATCTGGGCTAATACCCCTAGAGTGCATATCTTTAATTAATGACTGAGCTTCCTCCATCCTTCCAACTCTTTTCAAGTTGTTTAACAAGACATCAAATATGATATTGTTTTCCTCCAATCCCCGTGATTCCATTTCCTTATAGAAACCAGCAGCAGCTTCTTGATCACCAGCCCTAAAATAGCCATCTATCAAAATTGCATAAACAAAAGTATTTGGCATAATATTCCTTTGGACCATCTTCCTTAACACATCAACTGCTTTACTAAGCATTCCTCTTTTAGCATATCCATTTACAATAGAAGAAAAAGTAATAACATTTGGAAGAATATGTTCCTTCTCCAATTTTTGCAATACTGACTCTGCGAGTTCCATGTCTCCTAGCTTGCAATACCCATCAAGCAATGCTGTATACGTGACACAGTTTGGGACAAGATTGAACTTCAAAATGCTTTGGAACATTTCCTCAGCTTCTTTAGATTTCCCAACCTTGAAAAGTCCATCCATCATAGTTGTGCACATAATTAGATCAAAAGAAATGCCCCGAACAACCATTTGGCTTTGAAGATTAAAAGCTTCTATTACCCTCCCTGATTTAAAGAAAGAATTAATAATTGTAGAGTATGAGACATGATTAGGATCTAAACCCATTTCATACATCTCTCTCAGCAACACCACCGCTTCAATTAATTTACCATGTCTGCAAAGTCCATAAAGAATAGAACTACAAGTAACCACATCAGGCATGATTCCATTCATAATCATTTGCTCATACAGAAAAAGGGATTCTTCAATTCTATTATGCCTACAGTATGCAGTAATCAATGTAGTGTATGTGACAACCGTTGGCCGCAAATCTCTTATCTCATCCTGAATATCAACAACATAATTTTTTAACTGACCAGATTCTTCATCCCTCCGAAAGCCCAAAATCTCATTGATAAGAGACTCAGCCCTTACAAGATCATCCATTTTACAAAAAGCATTGAGCAAAGTATTATAAGTAACAATATCAGGATTGACACCATTCTTCCAACTGTTCTCCATCAAATCCAGTGCATGACTCATCAACCCAGCTTCACAGTACCCATCAATCAAGGTGTTTAGACCTATAACATCTTGTGGAATCCCCCCATCAACCAGGTTGTACATGACCCACTCTGCATATTGAACCAATCCAATTCGGCAATACCCCTTAACTAGTACATTGCAAGTGATTGAATCAACACATACACCCTTTTTAACCATTTCAGACAACAATCCAAAACCCTTATCAGTCAATCCCTGCTCACAGAATCCCCAAATGACAGTATTATAGGTAACAGTATCAATATCAATATCATTATTTTTCCTGAGATACCCTAAAGCCAAATCCAAGTCCCCCATTTTGCATAACGAATGAACCAATATGTTAACAGTGAAAACATCAGGCACGACCCCACAAAAGACCAGCTCGGAATACAACACTTTTACCTGAGAAACCAAACCAAAGGCATTGAATTCAAACAAAAGCTTATTCCACAAAGGCAAAGAGGGAACAAGACCAAGACCACGCATGGAAAAGAAAGCATCAGAGGCTAAGCAGAACCTGCCACATGCCAAGTAGAGGCGAATGAGGGTGCAAAAGAATGAAGCATAGAGATGGGTCTTAGTGGGTGGGATAAAAATCGAATATTTATGGAACATGGAGGAATAGGAGAATCTTCTGATGGTTTGAGGGAAAGTGAGAATCAAAGGGTAGTAGTAGTTGTTGTTAGAATGATGAAGAGGGTGGGAGATTCTTGTGGATGAGGAAAAGAAAGAAAGGGTCATGGTTTGAAGGCTCTTGAGATACCTCATCATAACACAACCCAACACAAGCAACTTCAAACATCCATTGACAATGCTGTCTCAATTCAAGTTCAGCTACAACAAATTCAACTTCAAACTTAGATTGTGGCAATGCACTGAACGCATAACTCTGGGACTGCTTGATTGGGTTGGAGCTATGTTGGAACAGAGGCTTCAGGTGTGTCTGGTTGGAAGGGCACTCTCTATTGGCGCAGCATCTGATCGGTGTTGGTTGGCCTAGGGCCTGTGTACCTTGGATCGTTCTTTTTTCTTCCTTGTTTTTGCTTTACAATTCCTGTTGTCTCCCAAAAAAACACATAAAAAAGTACTCTAATTTTTTTTTTTGATGCATTGATAATAATAAGTGCTCTTTTTTTTAAGTTATTTAAAGGTTTCAGTTACAGGAGACAAAATTATTTTCCACGTATACATAAAGATAAAGATGTATGAGATTTATTTATTTTTATTTTTTTCTATTCATATGGTTTCACACGAGTCTCACGTACTTTTATAGATTTATTTTTTCCAATGTTACTTTAAATAACTTTTTCTAATATTTATCAAAATGACGTTATTTTGTAATTTTAATTTCTTTTAAGGTTATGATAATTTTTATCATTATAATTTTTTAACCCAAAATAATATCGCTTCATTTAGTGAACATTAGAGAAAATTATCTAAAATAATATTAGATATTTTTTTCTACTTTTATATATGTGTAAGAGATAGTTTTATTTTAGAGTAAACACCCTTTTTAGTCCCTGTCAATATTTACGAAGTCCTTTTTAGTCCCTGGCAATAAAAAAGGACCAAAATGATCCCTGAAATTACAAAAAAAAAGGTCATGTTAGTCCTTATGTCAACTCCCAAATATGTAGAGTGACCCTTTTCTTGTACTTTCAGGGACCAATTTGGTCTTTTTTTATTGTCAGGGACTGAAAAAGACTTCGTAGATACTGCCAGGGACTAAAAAGGGTGTTTACTCTTTATTTTATATATCATAAGAAATATCAAATCCTTACTTAATTTAAAGGGAAAAAAGTTTCCGATGTTACTTTAGACAACTTTGTCTAATGTTCATCGAAACGACGTCGTTTTGGGTTGAAATATTTACATGTTTTAATTGAAAAATTTACTTTTTAATATAATATAATTAAATAAATTATTTAAAACTCTAATCATATAAGCCAGGCCAAAAAAATTTCAACCAACCTATAAGCCTTATACTGACTTGTCCGTATATTGGCCCAATCAGTAGTGGGCCAATTCGAATGGGTGCGTTAATTTCAGTCAAATTGACACTCTTATTTAACAAGTTACATTATTTTTGTTTGTTCAATTTGTTTTAAAACAAATATACAATTGTATATATTAAATTAAAAAAATTATTTTAAAAATGATTTAATTTCTTAGTATATTTTTTCATTAATTAAAATACATTTTATACTGGATGTTTATTCTTTTAAAATTTAAATTTTTTTAATTAATTATTCATATTTTTTATACTTTAAAATGTTTTTATTTTGATTTATCTAATTTTAAATAAATTTAAAATACTCTGCAATAATGTACATCCGGCGTGTAAGAAATAATTTTTTTTTGTCCTTTTATTTACTTGAAATTATCTGTTTTCCCCCCACTTTTCTTAATAAGGGATTGAAACTTTTGCTTATACCTAAAAGTTTTAGACTTTGACTCAAATTGGTGAACCAATCACGTGGTCAGATTAAGTAGTCCATAAGAGCAGTAATATTACCATCATTGTTGTTAAAATCTTAATTTATCACTACGATTTTACGTTTTTATGATTTTTTTTTTCATCAAAACGATTTTACTAATATTCCAAACACTTTTACGTTTTTACAAATTTTTTTACATTACGATTTTACGTTTTATGATTTTTTAATTTCCATCCGATTTTATTTAAGATCTCGATTTTAACAACATTGATTACCATGAATCGTGGTCTATTTGGTAGGAGGTTTTGTAGAAGAACGGATGTGGTGCTTTTAGATGTCTATGTTTGGTATTAGGTTTTCAAAAATTTAGGTAGCAAAATGATTTGTCTAGTAATTGTTTTTAGTCTATAAAAAATACTGTAGAATAATACCACCTTCTAGGTGGTATTTGCTTGTTTACCAGGCAAATCGAAAAAGGACCGTGAAGCAAGAGACCAAAATGACCTTTGTTAATGGCAACCTTTGCCATCTTCTGGAAAGAGGATCCAAGGCATTGACCTTTGTTATGGTATTTAAGGGTTGTTGTGGTAATTTAACTCTATTTTCCCATAAATATTTTTCCTTCAACCAAACATAGACTTAGAAAATTTAAACCAATTTTTTCTGTAATTTTTTGGCCTATCAAACAATTTTTTTTTTCACTTTCCTACCAAACTCATTTTTCTACCACTTCTCTAATAATTATATTTCACTGGTACAAAAATATTTCTCCTCTACCAAACACCTAGGATGCCATTCATCTAGGGAAAATAAAGGAAAATGTTAATTAATTTGGAAGTTTATTATGTTTTTAATTTCTGACGATATCGTGTACGATTTCATACACAGAAGATGGGAAATTTTAATATACTATCATCGCAGTGTTTAGTACTACAGTTATATTTATAATATATATTTTTTCAAATATATATTATAAATATTAAAGATTTTTTTCTCTTCTAAAAAATTATCAACAGATGTGAAGAAAGAGAAAAAGAAAATTTATTATCACTGTGTATTATCGAGAATACATAATAAAAATGTACCAAAAATGTTCTCGCAGAAGACAATATCTGTCAATTCAAACCACTCACAAAAAAAAATTGGAACCCCCACTACACATTTGGGGGCATTTGGTAAAAGAAAAAAAAATTTACTCAACGATTTTCAAGAATATAGTGGAAAAATGAGTTTTATAAGAATTTATCAAAAAGTTATTTGATAAGGAAAAATATTTCCAAGAATGTCTGATACTATGTTATGTTGAGTCAATTTTTCTGATACTATGTTATTTAACTTCACTAATTTTGAGATAGATGTATATTGCATAAAAATTCTCTCACCAAAAAACTTTGGAACAAAATTGACAGATCATCAGTTAATCACTGCTATTGAGATATATAGTTCCACATTGGTTGTATGAGCAACTAATGTAGAGTTTATAAGGACTTGGACACTCTCACCTTTTGAGCTAGCTTTTGGAGTGTGTATCCCAAGGTTCTTTACATGGTATCAGAGCCTCGCCGCCCACTATTTTCTCTTGTGGACTTTCTTAGCACGGGTAGGTTGGGCCTATTGCATCTTCCACTCTTCAAGCCCAATGGGCTCTCGTGTGAGGGAGCTTGGACACTCCCACCTTTTGAGCTAGCTTTTGGAGTGTGTATCCCAAGGTTCTTTACATGGTATCAGAGCCTCGCCGCCCATTACTTTCTCTTGTGCATCTTCCACTCTTCAAGCCCAATGGGCTCTCGTGTGAGGGGGCGTGTTAGATATATAGTCTCACATTGGTTGTATGAGCAACTAATGTGGAGTTTATAAGGCCTTGGATACTCCTATCATTTGAGCTAGCTTTTGGAATGATACTCCTATTCTTTACAAGTAGAATTGAGAAACTTGACTGAGAAAAGTTATGAGAGGTACTTGCCTCATCATCTTTTCTTGTGAACCGGCCTAAATGCATTACCAGGATACACAACCAATACTGCATTTAAACTCATTCAAATTCTTTTGATTGATACGCAGACAGAGAATTTCATATTCAAACTCGATTAAATTTCTTTTGATGAAAAAAATAGTAATTAATAATTTAAAAATTAATTATCCAATTAATTTGTATAATAATTTGATTTTGCCTTCTTTTGATAGATATATATTTTTTATTTTCATTGATAAGTGGCTGTGATTCATATGCAGACACGCAAATTATAGAAAATGTGTCCTAACGATTCCGAAATAATTACATCCCTATCCGAATAACTACACCGCACACTCCAATCCTTAGCTAAAAAATATGGCCCCTTAATGTTGCTTCATTTTGGAAAGTTGTCAGTACTTGTTGTTTCCTCTGCTGATGCAGCACGTGAGGTGTTGAAAAATCATGATATTGTCTTCTGCAATAGGCAACCTTACTCAAGCTGTTTTTCTGCATAATCTTACTCATTATTTGTGCGTTTATAATTTTCTACTTCATGTTTGTTTATCTTCCATGTTCATTGTTCTTTACTTTATTGGATAAATTGTTTATATTATTTCTATATTTTATATTATTAATATAGTATACTAACACACGAGCCATTTTTTGTGATTTAGTTTTAATGCTAAAGTCAGAAACACCCTGCTAGACAAAGAAAATCTTTGGCTGATGAAGATCTTGTGCTGTGAAAAATCTTTGAAAGAAATAAGCATGAGGTGCTGGAACAGAAGTTGAGGAGGAGGATGAAGAGTCTTCACAAAGAAGAGGGAGAGGATGATGATGATGATGAGGAAGACAGCAAGACAAAAAATAAGGTATAATATTAGTTTCTATCTATTTATTTACTATTTGAGGTTTAAACCCGAATGCTTTTGTTTTTCACTTGCCCTTTAGTGTCAAATATTTTCAACTTCCATAATCTTGATGCTTTATAATTAATATTGTCTTTATTTTGCATGGCTATGGACATTTCAGAAGAGTGAAAAAGCACAAGTTGGTGGTGTTTAGCAGCAAGGTGAGCGTCCTGCAGAGTGCAAGCAGCAGTAGTTGTTTATTTCTTCATAGAGTCATGGAGCTCATAGTTGTTTTTTTGGGGGTCTTAAGGTGCCTAATTTTCCCAGCAATTTTTCATGGTTCATTTTCCCCTAAGAACTTATAATCGGAATTTTTATTCAAAGTCTCTCTCTCCATTTTGTTCCATTATTTTGGAGAGATGTGGTTATATAGTTTCGGATAAATAATAATTTGTTACTGCTGGACTTCGTCCTAGATACTTTAAATATATAATTTGTGTTTCATTACTATCAATTTTTGTTGTTAATTATTATTTTAGCATTACGAGTCTTCACTCTTCAACATATTAAAAAACAATACTTTCTTTTATCTCACCCTTAAATGAGTTTCTATTTCTCCAAGAAGATTATCCAAATGAGCAACGAAGGAAAGATCTGTGTTTGCGTGT